TATAAAGGCTTTACAAAAATCTCTATTAGACTTTATACAAATTCGTTTGCGTATGTGTGTACCACTGTCTTACCTAATTCAGACGTCATTTAATTCATGAGATGTGTTGTGTTGAAGTGTATGGATCGTCGTCTAAATATTAAGAAAATTGCTTGTTGCTCTTTTAAACGATTTAGATATATGTATATATAAATAAACATACTTAGTGTTATAGTGTAGTACTAGGGAATCTATTGACTTTTCGCACTTTGATTAACTGATAACCCTTGGATTATGAAATGTTATCATTTTAAAACCTAGTACTTGGTTGGTTCCTACCTATGTAGGATTAGGTTTACATAATCTCTATATTAATTTAAAAAGATTATGTACCTACTGAATACAGTATTTGTTAATATTTTTTATTCAACATCGTTTAATACGATGTATATGTTAGGAAAATTATATGAAGAACCTCCGAGTATGTAAATATAAACACTATTTTAAACATATGTTCATCATGTGTAATTAAGGTATTTTATATATTATGTAAATAGTTTATATGACTATTGGTGTAATTACATTTAACCGATTTTTGTGTATGTTCGCGCTATCTTCGTGATCTGGGAACCGATTATAATATATTTTTTTTAGAAAATAATAATAATAACCGGCTTTATGGTAAATTTAACTCAGCCTCACTTACCAGTGTTTTTTTATTTCATTCACTGGTATCATTAGCTCAGTCTATCTAATAACTAATATGTTAAGATTACTTGGCAGAGTATAATTTCAAAATTATAACAGTTATTTTTGGTGAAGAGCGTTTTTGTATGTTCACGTTGAGTACATATATATATATACTAGTCTATTTCTGGTATATTAAGCTCTGTTTTGTTCTACTAATTATATTTTACAATAAACTCGAGTCCTATATAATGATTAAAAGCCTAGAGTAAATTTTTGTATCAACATTAGGTAACAGTAAAAAAACAAATATATTAAAATAATCTGTAAATATTGATACTATTATTAATTTTGTAATATACATAATAATAAAGTCTTATAAAGGATATTGTTTTATCTTAATATGTGCATACAATTTAAATCCGTATTATTAAAATACATTACGTAAATAGATAATAGAGTCAATAAATATTGATTATTTAAATTTCTGAAATGTTGCAGGTATTATCATCAAACAAAAACAATATTCATTGGATTAGATCCAAGTATGACGATACCATAGTAGAGGTTAGGAGGCAACATTACCACTTAATTTAAAATTTAATAAAGTATACTAAGTGAAATAGAGAAACGTCAAGCATTGCGTCCGTGGTCACTTAACAATGCTTCTGATTACTCTACCTGATTTTACAGTCGTGACGGTCTATTATATAATTAGAAACATGAAAACAAAAGAATTAATATCGTCTCAATTCGTTGTAAATATAATCTACTAATCCATATTAACGTCAGCGCTACGCAGCACGATCTAATCACAGTTTTATAACAAAACAAGTTCACTTTTGGGTACGGCAAGCGTGATAGCAGTGATAATAGGTAACGCAAGTTAGTATGTTTTAATCTGTTTATATTTCCATTAAGTTTCAATTTATTGTTAAATTTGTACATAACAATGATGCATGCATGAGAAAAATATAACTTCGTTTATGTAGGTAGAACTAGTGTAAGTATGCAAAATAATAATTTACTATTTACACCAATATCCACATATTCGAATGCAAAACCTTTGGAAATTCCAAATGAATAGTTAGTAGTTCCAAAATTATAGAACGGAGTTTGTAGAGAAGTGTATTCATATTTAAATACTTGTACTTACTACGATATATCTAACTTGAATTATAATAGTGTATTATTACTATTGAGGCTAGACATAAAACAATTGTCAGCCGAGTAATATTAAAAAAACGAAACCATATCTTATTTTTATAACTTTAGATATACCTACTTAAACTAAAGAAAATAAATATGACATTATTTATAAAGGGAACCTGTATTAGTTTGTTATACCACAGATAACATAATATTACATAGTTATACTATTCCATTTTTTAGGGAAATTATAAATATATTGTGTAAAAATATAAATTCTCCATTTTCTACTTACATTTTAATACCTATATTTGTCCGAATAATGTTAATTTTGTTATCTTCTTAAAAGATACTAAGACATCCACATAGAATTTATACTACATATCACATGATTTATAAATTATTTATGCAGTTAATTTAAGTGGGATTTCGACATGGTAGGTACAATATGCTTTCAAATAAAATAATAATTAAAACTTTCCAGCAATTATACGTTACAACAAATAAATTAGGTACTCTTTTTGTTGGCAATTTATCAACGATTTTGAAGATCTTACTATATCTAGTAAAGCTTTAAAAAAGATATAAGTAAAGCTTATAAAAAGTTAAATGCAAATTTTTCATAAAGTTTATCATCAAAAACATTTAAAGTGCGAGAACATTGCATAGACCGATGACCTCACATATTTTGGGGAATACATAAACCCAGATGTTTAGAGGCGTTCCATGTGGTAATCTGTGGGGGAGCCCAATTTTTAGTCATGAATTGGCGATGATGAATACCTACTGTGATATTTTGTACCGAATCATAAATATTAATTATTATTTTCACGAAAATTCTGTAATCATCCTACTAATACTATTCTAATATAAATACCAGTAAAAGTACTGGTTCTAAATATAGATGTCTCTTCGTCATAATATCCGTGTAAAAAATGACCGAACCAAAGAAATAGTTATTTGGTTCGGTCATTTTTTACACGGATATTATGACGAATACATTTTGGTGTACTTAAAAATTTAAAAATTAGGTAAGGGTGAAAAATATATATCAAAGAAAATAATAAATATTATATCCAGAAATTTGTAATTATCTACGGGATTATGTAATTACTCGCGCCATCTAATCAATTCATTTAATTTGGACGTCACTAAAGATGTCAAATTATACTGATGTATATGTGATGAGTATGTATCGTAGCTATTTTCCGATTATCAACAATATCGTATATTATATTTTATCACTATCATTCGACTCACAGCGATGATAATTCAGATTAGCGTATTGTAGCGGCCCCTATATATCTATTTCTAAAAACCGATTTTTACCAGATTATTTTTTTCTAACAAAGTACAGAGTATTAATGTTCTTTTAGATAGTAGCCATAAAATTTGACGGCGACCGCCGATTGAAGTGATGTTTTTGTATCTGTTATACGCTTTATACGTTATACTCTATTTTTATAAAATATTTAATAGTAATTAAAATTACTTGTTTAAATATTACAAGTTATTAAGATTTAAGACTTTCATATTTATTTGAAATTCTCACTATATGGTTTATTTATTACTTAAACTTATTAATTATGTACTATAAATCTAATGAAATGTACCTCGTTACTGAAATACAGTTTAACAAACCGATTGCGTTCCATGTCACGTGAATGATACAGACATATCTCTGAATCACTCTAATTTCTCCGCCAGTTGTCTCACATGTGTATGTTTTCACAGTGATGATGTTCAAATATTATACCTATAGAAATGTAAAGTATTGCAATCTTAATTATGGGCACTATCAACGGAAATGAGTTGCAGCATCGTAGGTAGGTACTACGTAATAAGACAATTGAGTATTGCGGCAACCTAGATTTTCCACAATTTATATTCACTGGTCACGCTACACGCTTCTGCCTATGATTATAAAAACGCCATAATAACTGAAGACAGCGTGTACGTAATTAAATTCTGATTGCATATTAAGTATAGGTATACAGGTTTAGTTTACTCTAAGATTTTCTATAGACATAACCGGGCAACATGATCGATTTAATAATTTGAAACTTTTCTATATTTTGACTAAACTTCTTGATTAAAATTGTTCAATTCATTTATTGGATTCCTACGTTGTATATCGATTATAACCAACCCTATATACATTTACATAAAGCCGATCTAGGCTAAACCCTATCCAGCCAATGACACGTACACAGAATAAAAAACTGAATATATATTATAATATCTGAATATATATAATATAAAAATCAATGTTGATTCATACATGTTTGACGTACCAATTAACTAATTACATAAAATTTTACTTTTTCCCAGACTATATAGCATTTAATAAACAATATATTTACATTCTTATATCATACATCACAAGAAAAACGAGTAAGAAAATTAAAAATCTTGTGTATCTGGATTGCTTACAACAAAAAATAACGGACGGCTAATGTAATGAGAATTGGCAAATGGGACCTTGAAACTTGATCAAAACTATTGATTATAAACACAGAATTAATATTGGACTGTTAAATATAGACTATGACTAAACGTAACTACGGAATACCTAGAAATATAGAATAGTTTAATGTAAGGGTTTTATATATGCAGTACAAAATATTCAGATCAATCTATAAGTGAATGTATATTGTGTCTAATAATAAAAAAAACTGTATGCGAGTCTCAACCGCAGACGACGGAAACACGTGCGTGACTTTAATGATAAAACTTGCGTATATATTTTATACAATAACATTGTTTCATTCCATTCTATATTCATACATTAAACTAGCTAGACTCGCGACTTCGTCCGCGTGAAAATTAACAGAAAAGTTATTTAGAATTATTTATTTAGAATAATTTATTTAGAATAGTTATATATAATTAGAGAATTTTTCTAAAATAAAAGTGGCCTAAATTACTCCTTATTACACCAGCTACCTGTCAATAAAAGTCCCGTCAAAATTGGTGCAGCCATTTCAGAGATTAGCCAGACAGACAAAAATAGTATAAAATGTTATTTCGGTGTATGTACCGTATGCATATTATGCATGTAGTAAAAAACGGTTATTTCAATATTACAATCAGACACTTTCCTTTTATTTATATGTATAGATATAAAAGATAACTATGGATTGAAATATTAAAGTTTCTCATGTTTTTTTTTATTTTTTCCATAGGATAATACAACAGTGACCGTGGAGAACGGAGAAGAAATAGTAAAAGTGCATAAAATGCATATATCCAAGCCAGTTCCTAATAGGACCTCATATATGAATGGCAAGTATCATTTTAGTTTAAATATCCTTTAGTAATTTAATTTTGTTCCTTGGTTTATAATGAATTAGTATTTAAAGGGTTCGTGTGTTTAACATATTTTTAGTGCGTGACACGTAAAATGAGAACTCGCTATGTACTATATTCCACTGTATCAGTATATGAACTTATTAAGGGTGAATAACATTTTAACGTGAATGACATGGTTTAGGTTTATAACCTCGAGCGGTCATTAACGAGGTTAAAAGAAATCGTTAATCATATGACTCGTGTGGAATATGTATTTACGTTACTATTACGTATCTATCATAAAAATTGTTGGTTGATTATTCTAAATGAGAAATCATATCTACGAAATAAAAAGTTGTACAGTTGTTCTGATCTTATACCACACAAAAAAAAATTGAATTTCTGCGGGGTTATCATTATACTCCAGTCTAATCTAAGTGTAAATGATGCTATCACATTTTATACCTGCATAAAGTAACGCTCAGCCAATGAGGGCTGAACACATACCTACCTATTCATTTGTGATCAATAATGCATCCATCAGTGTTTGTTTAAAATAGTAGGTATATATTGGAACATTTTTAACCAACCAACCACGTTTAACCAAGGTTAAAAAAGGAGGTGGTCTTCTCAGTTCGGTTATATTTTTACTGATTACTACGTCGGAACTTCATCATTTGTGACCTGATTTGTAAATTTTTTTTTTATTAGGTATGTCAAAATACTAGTCACTAAAATACTCCTAATGTACAGCCTGTACTTGTTACTGCTTGTGACATCAGATAATGAATGATGATGATGATATTTCTGGTTTTATTATACATTTCAAATTAACATTATGATAAGAAGATACTGATAGCTAACCCAGTTTTCATGTAGTATTTTACTTATATTTCTATTTATTAATTTGGCATAATATTATTTAACGTGTTATATATTAAGTTATTTACGTGAGTTCTACATTCTCTGCAAAACAACATTGTCCATCAAACCTCTCTCCTGGTATCTGGGTTCATAACCTAGAGATACACATATAAACAATTAATTTTATAATTATCGAAGTGATGTGAATGCAATGGTCTCAACCTGCTATTAGTGATCAATACTAGATACTTACTTACATTTTACTTACCTATAATAGATAATGACTTGTATGTACTTCTTACCAGAAAAAGTAGTACAATAAAATGAAAAATAATTACGAGTAATTCTTACCGTTATATCCATAGTTTTACTATATCTTATCTAAATAAAAAAAATGTCTAACACACTGCTTTCTATGAAATAAATATATACTGAAAGAGATTATTTAGGGATTTAAGATATTTAATCATTAATACTGTAGTTTTTATGTAAAAAAATTTGTAGCATTTAACATAATCCAATATTTCTAGATAATGAGAATAGAAATCAATCAAGAATACTCTTTTAATTAAATATCTCACTCTCTCTCTCTTATAACAATATCACTGCAACATAGTAAACGAATATTTAACCAATTATTGTGACTCAATGAACATACTTACATGTAGGTTTATTTGTATAGATATATTTATACGTACAACATTGTAATAGATAAGTTTTGTAACAACACGTCATTTAACGATAAACTAAATTAACCCGGGAGCCTCACCCCTGCCCCTATGGATTAAAACATACCTACTCAGTAGAATCATGTTAAGTAGGTGTTACGTTGACCACGAAGACATAACACCGTTATGAGATAATAAAATAGACTTTTTTCATGACAATAAAATAGAAGATATTAATATTCCCTATATTTATTTATTTAAAGCGTCTCACGCAGTACGTTGTAGATGTTGTTATATTATTTTTTGTAATATTAGATTGTCTTGTGAGTGACCCACTTAACACTAATTACAATCCATATCCACAGTTTTAAATCTAAGTAGGTAAATCTAAATAAGTAACCTATTCATTGTAAATTGGATAGTGTCTGTTATAAACTGTCAAACTTTAACAGATATGTTTTGTTATCTACGTTGTATTATAAGTTGAATCACAGACATTGCTTCTTGACATAGTAACCTACAAACTCATGTCATTCCTAGAGGATACTAGAAATGGTCCATATTATTTACATTCTGATGTCTACAGACTAGTTAGCAGACTCTATAATTGACAAGTTCGATATAAAAATATTTAATATAAATCATCATCATCTGCTTCTTCCTTATCCCATTTATTTGGGGTCGGTAATATGTTTTTCGCTTCCAAATTCCAAAAAATATTTAATATAAATATTAATGTATAATTTGAGTAATAATAAGTAGAATACCTAAATGAGAAAGAAAAACTTAGGAATACAGATACAGGATAATAATATTATAATAAGATATAGGCCAAAAGGATCTCGCCACAAAGAAATCGGCAGATATTACTTTAAACAAAAAAATGCTCGATGTAGATCGAATTTGTGACACACTGTGTAGTATTTTGCTTCTGACGTAAGAAAACTACCTACTGACTGCAACCACATCTGTGTTAGGCATGACTGTTTCTCTAAAATACTACTTATTACTATTAATGTGATCTATAATATTAAGGATAGGGTTCCCCATAACAATATTACTACAATAGAGTATTATGACGAGTTTTTTTAGCAAAAACGTGTTAGGTAACATGATGTGACCTTTGACGATAGATCTAATGACGAACATATTCACGTAAATACCGATTGGTTACATTAAACTTACATGTAGACACTTTATCTGTAAAATGTTTAATTATTATGCTATGAAGATGTATTTAATATGATCTACTGTTTGTTTAATATTATATTATTAAGCAGGGGGCAACTAAATTATTTGAAAGTTATATTTCCAGGCCCCGACCAGCTGCTTCCTGCAACTAGCTATATAACGACATACGCTGATGGAGCAGTAAAGCTACGGATCGCTCCTCGAGGTTTAGCTTCTGAACGACCACTGTCAGTACCGGGCTTACTCAATCAATCAGTTGCCAGATATCCTGATGCCATAGCTTTGGCGTCGAAGAAGGAAGATGGAAAATGGCATAAACTTACATATACGTAAGTATATGGTAAATTATAAAATTATTTAAGTATATATTATGAAGTCCAAGCACTTTTGATAGTTATAGGGACTGACCAGGACTGGAAACTGATCTCTAAAAACCATCGATATTAGTTTTGGATGATTTTGTCACGGTGAACCTGATCGACTTATTTATTATTACCTCATCCTATAATTCTCGACTGGTCCCCCAACAGTACCTATGTGAATACCGTTGGTGTAGGCTTGTGCAAATGTGCACCATTCTATATGCTTCTATTTAACAATTGTTCTACTATGTTTATATCTATAGGTTTAATTATATGATTAAAATCTATATTTCATTCTGTAATAAATCCTTAATAATCATGGTAGCTATTACATGTTAATCGTTTGCTTCATGTAAATGCTCTTCGATCACGTGTAAAAATTTTGGTGCACCCGGCGGTATTATGATAAGAAAAAGTCAATGTACTTATTTTTTCAATGTGTAATGAAAACATGAACATTATGTACATATACATATAGAGATTAGTATCGCTTGTAGTTGATATTTGACGAAAATTTAGGGATACTCGCACTTATATATTTTTTGTGAACTTATGATTAGTTGACCCATATACCTCTTACAATTAGATGTTGCCCATCTAATTGTAAGAGAATACTTAGTTTATATACTGGCAGCGCATTTACAATGAAAAAGAAAAATATAAAATATACCTGTTCCTACTTTCGAAGATTCTAGATTTTAAAGTGGGAGTTCATTATTATTTGTACCTGTATAATAACGACGATCAAGAAATCATATTAACGTCTAGAATCCATTATTACACATTCATACATGCCATATCTTATATGCATATACAAATGTAGCATATATCTGTAAAATAAAAAGATGTTTATTTTACTATTTGTTCGGAACCCTCTGGTTGAAAGTCCATGTCGTACTTCATCTGTTCTTTATCTAAATGTAATATTGATAACATATCGAATCAATATGTGATTCTGAACTACTTTAGGGGATTGCATTAATACTTTTACATGTTGTATTTTATTTGATCTTTGTAATTATAAATAATTGTAATGATAATAATACTTACCTACAAGCATATCTTCACTTCCAATATACCTAAATATATAACTCCCACTGCAACTATAACATTTAAGTTTCTTTGTGCACAATACGACACTGAACACAAGCGTTTTGTTCGATCAAAGTTTAGATTTGCAAGGTCACAACAAGTAAAAAATGTCTTTCAACAAAAACGGTGTGACGGTATTCGATGACGTATGTTCTCTATTATCTGTAGATTTATTATAAAATAATAATAGACAACAAATTACACGTGGATATTACATATTAGAGAGATTGTTATATCTGGTTATACTATGGAACTTTAGTGAACTGAATTGTTTAAATTATTTTGTAATAACACCCAGAATAAAACAAGTAATCATACTAATGTTTGTATGATCAGTAATTAACTGAACTATCGGAGGCATTGTGTTAAAATACATGGTTAAACTTCAATCCTGGCAACTAACTTGCGTCACAGTATAGTTTGCAAAGTCCGTGATCGGTATCGAAAAATTCTTGCCGGTTAAGCACTATCATAATAATATATACCTACTAGTTCATCGTTCCAGAAGTATAAACAAATAAAATAATACTTTTCTTACTTAAATTAAATGTGAATTTTTCTCTTACCATTCAGACAATATCGAGAGAAGGTCCGAATTATTGCAAAAGCCTTTCTGAAACTTGGTCTGGAAAGATATCATTCAGTGTGCATCCTCGGTTTCAACACTGAACAATGGTTCATTGCTGATTTAGCAGCGATTCATGCTGGGTAAGTAATAAGCATAAGAGAATTTTGCATAGAAATATTTTCTGTTTCTTCAATAAATATTACAGAGTATCTGGGTTATAGTAGTGTCTAAATTCTAGTAAAAATGGACGAAATATTAAAATGTATTGATCCCATATATAAAACTATATAATCGATTTTTTATAAATTGACCACCGGTCATTCCATTTTAATGCCACAGAATAAAATCTATAAGATAGTATTTGACTCTATAGACTCTTTTAATTTCACAACACAAATGCAAGGAATTCATTCATTTTGGAACATGCGAGCTTTATACTTAAACTAGTTAAAAATTGCTATATTACTATTCCTACGTCAATCTAAAACTACTGAATCCTATGCTGAAGTTTAGGGGCATAATAGTTTTTCATACTCGAACATATAAATATGACATCAAACATTTTTATACAGAGGTTTCGCTGCGGGTATCTACACAACAAATTCAGCAGAAGCTTGTTTCCACTGCCTAGTGACGTCTCGCGCCAACATCTGTGTAGTACAGGACAAGAAGCAGCTGGACAAAGTACTGTCTGTACGAAACAAATTGCCCCATTTAAAAGCTATTGTACAATGGGAGAATCCTGTCGATACTTCAATACAAGGACTCTTTTCGGTGAGTATATTTAATTCTGTATACATATTTCCAGCATTTGTGGTATGGTGATTAATACTGTTGTCTTCATCGCTGCGGCTTCCATCGCAGCACAATGCAATGATTAGTAATCACGTAATGTTTGTACTGATCTGAAAGTTTTTAAATATATTTATAGTATGTATAGCATGTTGATCAGCTGATCAACCGTCTAACGTTGAAAGCACAAAGTATGTCTGTTTAATGACATCTGATCAGCAAATGGCATACTAACTCTCGCGGACTGGCAAACAGCTCAATAATACACACCGATAACCGATCACCTGAAAGTGATAAAGTAGGTACTAATTTCAATGAATATAATCTTATTATTTGATACAACTAAACTCTTAATACTAAGTAAAGTTATTCAGATCCCAGCCTTTATTATATACTAAAACACCATTGTTGTTAGATTTTTATTTATGGATTTTAACATTAAAATAAGACGTCTGGGATTTTCGCAAGTAACGAAAACAATCCAGTAATATCAACGGTGAAGCTAAATATACCGAATCTTTTATTGACATATCATCATAGTACTACGGGCTTTATCGTCATCCGTCAAATAGGTACATATTGCGTGAACTTGTGGTCATTACGATAAAAATACTTTATATTGGTACCTACTGTTTGTATGTAGATTGATACAGATCATCTACAAACATAATTACCAACAATGATTTGTATTTTATTTATGTTGAATATTTTAATTCACTTTGTAAACAAAACATTGTTTATGAACTGTCTCTGGTCACTGGCCACCATATTTACCACTTACAACTATTTTTAATAGTAATACCTAATAATAATAATAAGTATTTATATATATATATAATAAGTATTTACTAATCTTTAATATTCATATTAAAATTTCAAGTAAACTACTATATTTTACTGAAATATAGTCAGATCAGCTAAATCATGTTATCTAAATATTATATACTAGCTGTGCCCGTGGTTTCGTTCGCGTTTTCGGTAGACAGGTCCGGAAATGGTGTAAGTCACCTCAGACTGAGGTCTTTCAGCCCAAAATGGTTCCAAAATATCTTCCTAACGAATAAAATAAAATAAAATACGAATGTATGTAAATGTAATAATGGCGAAATTTTCAGTGGGACCAAATTCTGGAGATCGGAAAGAAGGAACCTGATGATCAATTAGATTACATACTGAAACATATGGCTGTGAATGAATGCTGCACTCTGGTATACACGGTAAGAGACAGATTTAATGGAATATATTTCAAAATTGTTGATATTTGATCCTAGAACAAGCCTCTAGTTTCTGGTCCGTATTTGTGACCTTACACGGTGTTAAAAGGGGATAATGCGATGAATAACAATTATTTTTAATTTACACTAATTACATGCCGCTTTGGACAACTATAGGTACTAATGAAGTAAATGAGACTTAAATCTTTCCTGTACAGTATTGTCAAATCGGTCAATAATATTTTAATAGAGAAATTTACCCAAAATTCCTAACTCTTTGGTATGATATTTGAAAGAAACATTTTATTTCATACAAACATGGCACTAGTAATTATAAAAACAATAAAAATATCCAAATACATATTTAGGTGCAGCCGTTCTGAAGTGAGCCCTACATACACACCAATAATTGGCATTAGGTTACGGTCCGTCCTTGTTATGTAATGTACGTATCTGCACGTCAAATTTCATTAAGAACCGTTTAGGCGAAAAAAGTAACAAGCAGACGAATAGACTGACACACTTTCGAATATATAATAATAGTATGGACTAATAGAATGCTAACTAACGCCTTTGTCAAGATGGACGTTGACGGTTAAACAAAAATAGTTAATATCAGTAGTATTTACACTATGTCAAATATATAAAGATAATTTTAACATAAGTTAATGTACGATAACAACCAAACGCGAATTGTTTAATAATTTAGAATCATTAATATACTATGTACCTACATACATACTAAGTTGATTCATATATTCATAAATTGATTTTATATTTCAGTCGGGAACAGTGGGTTCGCCAAAAGCTGTAATGCTGTCTCACGACAACCTGACTTGGGACGCTTTTTCCATCGGTCAACGTGTGGCCGACGTCTACGTCGGCGAGAAACTGGTTTCGTTCCTACCTCTAAGCCACGTCGCTGCGCAGGTACATATATTTTCACGCTTCACTTTTATTTTTATACTATATATTGAGAGCACTTCGAGTAATGGTTTACCTGATGGAAAATGAAAATTGTCGGTTACAGCGCCATGAATATTACTATTATGCTATAGACCGTATGTTAGTCATATCTACCTGTATATTATCTACATGTTATCATACATCAGCTGTCATACAATTTCGGTAGAAATACAAAAATATTATATTTTGTACTTCACACCAGAACAAGTAAGATGGTAGCAGTAAACCTACCACGAGATACGTTTATTTATTATTTACCTATTTTCTATACAACTCATACTTAAGCATCAATGTCATTATTAGGAATTTTATCAATTATTTCAATTGTCTTGTCAAAAAAAAACTATTAATATCAAAAGTACAAAGTGTGTTTTAATGTTAACTACTTTAGTTTTTATTAGTTTCTCGCACTAGATAGGAATGTATGTTTTGAATACGTATGACAAAATATTCTTGCAGTTAGAAGTTACATGCCTAGAATTTCTAGTTTCAGTTCCAAAATATATAGATATTTAGGAATAGAAACTAATATGTCTACATGTATGAGTAGGAAATGAAATAGTGGTTTAATTAACAGGTGGTGGACATTTATACTACGTTAATGCACGGCGTTACTGTATTTTTCGCTCAACCCGACGCATTAAAAGGCAGTCTAGTCGAGACCCTAAAAGAAATAAGACCTACTAGGTAAGTACGTACATCATGATTATTATTATACTATGTATTCTAGCATATTTAGTAAGAACATTATTTTTAATTTAGTCTAAGTGATTGCCTCAGTGGTTTAGCGGTGTAGCACCATGATGGTCATGAGTTTAATTTTCGCTCGATACAAATATTTGTTATCATGATTACTCAAATCAATACAAATAGTATTAGTTTGAGTGCGTCATCACTCAAACGATTTCTTCAAATAGGAGTAGTGATCTACACGTATACTACTGTTATATATATTCTAATTTATATTATAAAATATAATAGATTAGTTTACCTTGTAAACGGAGTGTCTGAGTGTGTGTTTTATCAGGTTACATTAGTAGGTATAGTACAAGATCATTTCTCACTTCCACATATATTTATAATGTTAGCTTAACTCATTGTTAGCTAATTGACGTCAATTGCGAATTTTCCGCAAGTACCGAGTAGATATACAATTTCTGAGTTATTTTAATGTTATACAGTTTACAGTATGACTGTAGATATATTTTTGGTGACCAATGTGGATTTTTATGGAAGGGTAAATCCATCTGCGTAATTGGTTTTTAGTAAGTACCCTGGCAACGAACAATGAAGAATAGGTAAAAGAATAAGTACGTAATCAAATTGGTCTCCTGTGGGGACCGCATGGAAATCAACACGTGTTCTACAAATATTTAGATGTCAATAATTGGCTTAACACTCATTTTCAAAAACAAAAATCGAGTTTAAGCTAACAGCGCTGAACTGATTGCGTACGAATGAAAAATAATCTATCATATTATACAAAAGTTAAGTCATCAGGCCAGTAACAATAGAAATACAAAAATATCTCCTTCTAGACAGATAACTGATCCTTTCTTACGTTACCAATAGGTTTTTGGGAGTACCTAGAGTGTGGGAGAAGATGCACGAGAAGATTGTAGCAGTAAGTTCCACCAGCGGTTTCCTTACCAGATGCATTGCAAACTGGGCTAGAGACAAGGGTCTCAAGCACCACCTTGCCAGGATTGATGGGTAAGTTTATTACAAATATCACTATTAAATGTAGATTGAAATTTGTTTTCTGATATCAGGCTTACAAATCTGATTTAATATAAAATGTTAATAAGGGTATGTTGGACAAAACAATTATGTGACGATCAACATAATAAGCGAAAATGGCTCCCCGTTGTCTTATGTCTTATAACACAAATTAACAAAATTAGCACTAATACATTATTAAATTGGTATAAGTAGCTACTAAATAGGGAATTAAATAACACTGACTGATTACGTTTCAATGTTTTGTTTTATAATTTCATTGCCTTGTCTATTGTTTTATACAAAAGACAAATCAAATACTTAAACAAAAATACAAACATATTTACTATTTATTAACAACATACATAAATATAATAACCCTACAATTATTAAATACATACTGAAAAATATTGTATATGCAATGAATCTGAGCGTTTATTAAATCTTTTGTGCAACAGTTTTCATACGGCCGGAATGCGGGGTCTTCCTATAGACTTCTCTACCCTCGAAATGTTGACATACTGGTATGTCATGTGGAATTAGATTGCGTAGCTAGACTGCATGACGATTGTACTGTAGTCAGTAACAAGTAGCTATCCAGTATACCAGATGTTTTTGAGTAGCATAAAATGCATGTTGCAGTTTTGCAATCCTCTATTTGCCCCTATTTTACTCATAGAAACTATTGACAGTCGACAAAATAGAATATCCTTATTTGTATTTTGAATATAGGTTTTGCATGTGTTTTACATTTAAATTGTAGAGGTTACATAGATTACAACAGGAGGTAATACGTGGTTTTTCTGATAAACCTTGAAAATGAAACGTCCTTAACGAATTTTCCTTTGCATACTTTTCAGAATTCTATGTACAATTAACTACATAATTACATCAAGTACCTATCTAATATTTATCTACTCACATTTTTCTTATGAAAAAACTGATCAAGATAACCTCCGAAATCCACACTCCATTGCATCCACAATTTGCAATTTGTCGGTCACCCATCCAAATAACTATACTATCCGATGTGTATTGAGACCAATTAACAATATTATAAGTAAAGAACACTACAATTCAATATGTATACCTAATATTTATTATTCGGTAAAACTGTAAAGGCCAGCTACGGCCAACAGCATTATAATACGTAGTTCGAAAACTAATATTTCTCTTAAATATTATAAAATATCCGTCGTCATAACATTCATCGATAATCAGGCGTACCGTATGCGTGATTGACACCGTTAATAGTAGAAATAATTACCTATTTTATTTTGTGCGCATTTTATTGTTGATAGACTAGTATACCTATCCCTAGGTACTTAGATAAGTAAATACAACAAGACGTATTGTAAATTGTAATTTTATCGTCCTATCAAATGACATAATGCTAAATGAATAAAGCTATGGTATGATAATAGGTACCCATATATATCAGTAGGTAATATTTATTTTACCTAATATTGGATTTGATAACTGGGACATTGAGGCACATAAATACCTATTCTGGCGGTGATTAGGTAATACCTATCATATATAATTAGATATATATATATATATATAATTTTTTTTTTAAATAAAAACCATTGTAGTACACGTTCTATTATTAACTTTTAGTGTGACAACTGACAAATGATCAACATCGATATTTTCATACGTTGCAGCTTACCGTTAATATAAATAAGCATATTTGAATTAGCAATGATAATGAAGTACCTACATTTCGTACTACATTATTTATCAATATTAATATTATATATAATACAATACGGAAATATATAGTATAGTACCTACGAGTGGTAACCCTAGTGAAAAATAGACTCTTTTAAAATAAAAAAGGAATTTCAGAATCGGTCCTCAGTTGACGGAGATATCGTAGAACATTCACGAAACATACATATAGTAATATATATATATCCATTTGTCGTGTAGATAGGAAAAAAAAGATATTTGGAATTAAAGGAAATTATGTAGTAAGTGTTACCTTACCTAGTGTGTGTACCTTACCTAGTCATTAACTCTTGTAAACGGATCAAACTTATTGAATGTCCTATCCACTCCCAGTAGCCAAACCTAGAAATCCTCAGTATTTATATGATTATTACGACATACGACAGGCAGCGGGGCACATCATTTGGATACAAAATGGCGAAGTCACTGGTGTTTAATAAGGTGCATGCGACCCTGGGCTTAGACAAGTGTACGACATTCGTAACATCAGCAGCGCCATTATCGGCAGACATCAAGAAATTTTTCTGCTCTCTCGATATGCCAATCATGGAAGCCTTTGGAATGAGTGAGCTCGCTGGCGCGCACACTCTCAGTATTTATCCCGGGTAATATTTTGTTATATATTAGTTTACATACAATTACAATTCTAAGTATAAAATGACTATACAATCTATTTTGTCTATGGTTCTGTTCAAATTCATGGCTGCTATTGATTACTGTGACTTTTTATCTGTCTGCACGTGCACATTAATCAGTACTAATAATAGAGTAGATACTTAATTGGTCACGTAAAATTTCGGTAATTACAATTTTTGACGTATTTCGTCACATCGATCACTGACCGATTAGGTATATACCTATCTAGTAGATTTCAACGTAATAAAGAATTTAGAGGCACTATCCAAGTTACAAGTACAAAACATACCGAATTAGCCAGAGAAGGTTAGTGATAATATCTAGAAATAAAATTTTATTTATTTATTCATCCGAAACAATTAAATTGTGTAGGATAACATACAAATTACAAAGTCTAAAGCATAATAACTTAAATAATTTTAATTTCATTTAATTATATTAATTTGGTTATCTCAACAAACTTAGTGCAATTGGTCAACTGAAATCTTTGTGGTCATTATTATAATAATCATTTACAAGAATAGTAACATAACTTATTATTTTAAAACGACCTTAATATAGTTTTAAACAATGTAAACTTGTGAAGAGTTTTTGAATTGTATGGTAAATTATTAAATAATTTTACTCAAATTACTCAAAGAATCGTCTTACTTCTTTAGATTTTCGCTAGATGCTAGTGGGGAAGTACTAGGTGGGACAGAAACCAAGTTTGGCGGCTCGCCAAGTCCCAATGGACCCGGTGAAATCATGATGAACGGTCGCCACGTTCTCATGGGGTACCTCGACGAACCAGAAAAGACTCTGGAGACCCTCGACTCTGAAGGCTGGCTGCTCTCCGGAGATATCGGCAGGCTCGATAGCCGCAACTTGCTGTACATCACTGGCAGAATCAAGGTAAGACATAATGATGACCGCCAAGGAGCAATTGTGTACCACTACCATAAGCCAGCTTTAACGTTTGTTTTGTAACTCTTATGTATTATTTGTATGATTAATTTAGCACAAGAACTATTCCAAATTGGCTCTAGTTCACAGCCACGTTTCTCATAGGTACTTATAACCAGGGCCGAATTAAGTATTAGACAAAATTGACAACTGCCTAAGAGCCCCACATCGGATAATTGATCCGAGCGCGTGATTGAAACAGTTGACAATATGTACTTGTTTATAAAATATTATATCAGTAAAGATATAAAATAAAATAGCATTGACCAACCTTTTTTCAGACAGGGAAGGGCCTCGACTTGTTTTATTCCGGTCAGGGTTATAGTACAAGGTTTAATAGACATTTATCTATATATATATATATATATAATATAGTGTATAATACATATTATAATCCACATAGTTATTAAATTATAACACTATAAATGTTAATTACGCATCTATCTAGGTACATCAGAGCAAGCTCAGCTATTCTTGCTATATAATTTATTTGTAATCTCATCTAGTGAGAGCTGAAAAAAATTAAATGAATTTATTAAGTGCACATAGCTACCCATTACCTTATCATTTCAATAGCTGATTATCACGCGATCGTCTTGTTAATCTTATAATGGATATGCACAATTAAGAGAAATTCTATTAATATCACAATAGTTAATTAAGTGTATTACCACACAGAACCTTGTACTTATGAAGGGCAAATTATTTCATCTGTTCCAATAGATATGTATTATGTACCTAAAAGACGTTAGAAAAGAAGTAGTAACTGTGTATTCTTACATTTTTGGCGTACTGTTTACAGGAGCTACTAATAACAGCCGGTGGCGAAAATGTAGCGCCAGTGCCCATCGAGCAGATAGTCCAAGCGGAGCTGCCACATCTTGGATATGCGGTGCTTATCGGCGATAAACGCAAGTTCCTCTCCATAATCGTCACGCTCAAGGTAAGTTTTATTGTCATACTTGCAATTGCAGTGTACAAATATAAGTTCATACATGTACCGTTGATATTTCGTTTTTTATATGCTGTTCCAGGCTTTAATTTTTTACCTAACAAGATAAAACATAATATTTAAATATCTTAAATAAAAGAATATCTTATTATGCACCTATGCATATTGTTTTAACTATTGAACTACTTTTCCACAGAATCCTCAGTTCCTTATGTTATTAAGTACTAATGATTATTCCTTTCCCATTAAACAGGCCAAACTGAACACGGATACAGGTGCAGCTCTGGACGATTTAGAAAGCGAAACCAGAAAATGGGTGGCTGGTCTAGGCAGCCAGGCTACCACAATTAGTGAAATTTATAAATCTAAGGATCCAGCAGTGAGTACACACTATTATCATATAAGTATAGGGTATACCCAACAGTTAACATAGGCACATGACAGTTAATCTCAAATATGTTATATTTCATTATAATTGGTAGTCGATTTTATAGGAGGAAAATAATAGTACAATTATAGAAACAGGATATTTACCATGAAAATAATATATATAAGCTCCCGATATTTCGACACTGTCACAAACGTCACTGTTCTCGCGTCGACCAATTAAATACCGGGAGCTCATAAATAATATGAAGATAAATATCCCGTTTATATAATTCGTACAAAACAAAAATAACAGTCAATCGAAAGGGTTCTCTCGAGTCCTTCATTGACTGTGATATGATAGATATCTCATTTATCGAACAACAGTTTAAAATAATTTACCTAAATTTATATCTATACCAATATGCTTGCATCTCTAGACTTATCAGTTTCGGCAGTATCTTTATCAGCCACTCAGTTTATACTTTGTATAGGTATGTAAGATAAAGATACTATTTGCAATACATTTTGTATAATAGCGTCACGTCCTAGTCATTTCCTGTCTCCGCCTAACAAAAGTACTATGCTTATAATTAATTATTAAAGAAAAAAGAGAACTAAAATTTATTGATATTACTTAAATATAGGTACGCTGAAGCGGAAATAAACCAGCTACTATACATACTCGTAGCTTGAAGATAAATGAGCATAGCGAAGTAGGATTCTGATTCTTAGTGTTGAATGTATAGTTTAAAAATAATTGACATATATATCGGTATTTTAATCTTTTCCTTGTCCTTGCAGGTACATAAAGCAATTGAAGAAGGCATCAAGCGAGCAAATAAATACGCCATTTCTAATGCACAAAAGATACAGAAGTTCGCTATCCTCCCTGCTGATTTCTCGTTAGCATCTGGAGAATTAGGTATGTTTTACATAGTACATTTAAAATATACCTAATTACACAGTGAATTGTTTGATAGAAATTAATAAGTAGGAATACATTATAGAATAATAAGCCAGGAACAATGTAATCAAAATCAAGAACTATTTTAGGCGTTATGTTAAACCCAAAATTATCATTGTACTTTCTGATATTATATTGATATTTACCGTTCCATCAATTAATATTTTGTATTTTAGCTACATTTTTTTATATAATTGAAATGGCATGCAAACTGACAGTTCACCTTTTAGTAAGCGGCAACCGTAGCCTTTATCCAGGGGGAACCGCGTGGGTTAATCTGACTTGGTACATTGCTAGCAATAAGATCATCAGTCCACTTTACTAACAATCCCCTTTCCCCCCACGGATATCGCGTTATCGTGTCACACCTACTATACAATTAATGCGTTGCTAATCTATAGGACTAAGTTGTTATGCCCCTTCTATAATTTCACTGCCTAATCTGCACCCTAATAACGAAACACAGCTTACAAAGCAAACTGCTTAGCGGCTGAGATTGGAAATACTGAGGTAACCACGCACACGATTTTTTTAGATAATCATCATAGACTAAAATATATTCAATGTTTACACTATAATCTAATCCACTATACAAAAAGAAAAAGTAATAAAATCAATAATATAATGTATATTATGAATTATTTTCATTGAGTAATAAATTATTTTTGTTACAGGGCCTACGCTTAAAATTAAGAGGAGTGTGGTGTATGAGAAATATAAAGATATTATAGAAGGATTTTATAAAGAGTAAATTAGGTAATTCTTTTAGAATGTAGGGAATTGGAATGTAAATTATAAATTATGATAATAATTGTGTTGCTCAATTAATTAGGGACTTAATGTGATTCATATTAATTGTAGGGGTATACATAGCTTATATTTTTGTTACGTAAAAATTAAATTTTATAAAACTGCTTTGACTGTTTAATTTAAAAACAAATTAATGGATTATATTTTTATTTTACTTAAAACTAATAAATTCAATTGCAATGAGTAATGTAATTATAGTAAAACTTATTTATATTACACAATTTAATTATAAGAAAATTGGTACTATGATTTTATAATAGGTGCAAATATTATTGATCAATAAATAACACAATTGAAAACTATACAAAATAATACTCGTTATTTTTACTTACACTATTAAAAACTTTATTCCTATATACATAAAGATCTCCTTTTATTCACTTTCGTAGTTCGTTCTACAGATATGCTAGACATTTCACATCAATACCAGTATCTGATGTATAGTCCACTATATCGAGATATAATCGTCCAAATTGACAAATTTTACATAACAATATTACAATATCCCTGTCTGGGGCGTAGCGCAAATGTGAAGTTTACTTCTGGGTAACGATATTTTTTACACTTGGCGTATTTAATAAGCAAATTAGTGTCTTTACTGAAATCAATCACTTAAATAATAGACAAAAAGTAATAATATTCCAAATATATATTCCTTTGGCACAACCTTTTATTCTATTATATTATAGTTATATGCACATTAAAACTATTTAGACTAAAAAAGATGCCAACATTGTTTAGTAAATAAACCAAGTATTAAAAATGTCAAGTCTCAAAAAGGATTATAGGTATAGCTTTATTATCCCTAAGTTAGTGTCCCGAACTGATACCGTACTCGAACCAAACAACCTGTGTCCGTAACATTTATGCAGCGAATTACTATTTTAATGGAATTGGCATTTCATCAAGATAAGTTTATACACTTGTTAAGTTGTGACTGAGGAAGATTACAGCTGTAATCTTATCGCAATTTCATATAACAATTGAATGCAGCTGTACGCTATTGCATTATATGATAGCTTAGCTTATTTAAAAATTAAACAATACATCATCGGGTAAAACACAATCAATTGTCATCAAACATATCAGTAGTATAATAGTATACTATTTAATACATCTTATATCAGGGAATGAGACTAAGCATATAAAGGTTCTATAATAGCCACTTTCAATTAATGACTGATTGTATTTTATTTGAGTATAATGATAAAAAATAATAAGAAATAAATACAAACAATAGCACATATATAGAATCAAAGTTAGATATCAAACACTGTGCACGTGTTTGATATCTAACTTTGATTTTAGCATTGATTTTAACAAGTGTAAATTAATAAGTATAATTTTAATACAGACAAATAATAAAAAACAAAGTAATAATGAAATGGAGAATTACTTAAAAATTGCCTAATGAATGATTCTGACGTTCGTTTTCAGGTCATTTTGGATTGGACTTTGTCCTTTACTTTGTTATGATTTGAACTTGAAAATATAAATGCTAATTATATTTTAATATAACTACAGGTTTTCACCTGATAATGCGACATATACATTGCACCAATGACCATTATTTTAAAGGAATCTACAAGCTGTCTCTCATTTGCTTTGACAAGTTTTACAACTCAAATTTATGTGTAATATGATTGACCGAACTTTGATAGATATTCCTGTAAAAAATATAAAAGTTCATTTTATTTTATTATTATAATAAAAATAGCTATAAGATTTCACCGAACTATAAGAAAACCGCGCAGAATAATCCATTTAAATAATTATAGGAGTTGCCGAATATTTAAATTTAAAATTAAACTTCTTATGTGTTTTCGAATAATTTATGCTAAAATATTGGTAATACTATCATTTTATCGAATTGTAGTCGATAGCATGTATCCTATGATCACTACCCTGCTCCATTTAGATGTGATTAGGCAATGATTATCTGCATTTTGACTTTAGAAGCAATACCTTATTAACAATTTTAATGTCACATAACTAAATATTCATAACATATTAATTAAAGAATGTCTCTGAAGATTTGTGGTTCATGTAAGTATACATATACATAAACATATACAGTTTATCTTACATGAACCACAAATCCTAACCATTGCATCTACGATTATATCGGTTTTTAAGACACTGTAGTGGTTATCAGATTAAAAAAGGTTCCGTTATCCTGTGAGAATAAAGTATGGTATTAAAAGCAAGCGATCGGTCCATAACGACAAACGCTGAATTTTAAGCCCAATTTTAGACTACATATTCTATTTAAAAATGTAACTAGGAAAAAGACTCGACTACTCAAATGAAACAGAATGAATACTGTTAACCATTACTTTTCGCAATAAACGTCTAAAATTAAAATAATCCGGGCACGTTACTACGTGGTAACTGTAATATTTGAAAGAAATGGAATGTCAGTAAGATTTTAAATCCGTGCTATACAATATAATATAAATTTTAATTATACAATATAAATCTCATCTCATCTAATAACAATATTTTTTATAAATTTATACATTTTAAAACCATCATATCATTAAGTAATCATTTTGTTTCTTAAAATTAAATTAGTGAAATAACACCTATAAAGAAAAAGGAAAGTATAAGTTTTCCATTAATTGAAAAGATTGTTGTCAAAGATCTTCATCAACGATTTCGTTCAAAAAAATTTAAAAACACTAATGGACTTGGCAAATATATCATATGCTTTATATAAGTAGTATGATTTCATTATGTAAAAATATAATGCCAAAAATAACAGAAAGTTTCTAGCTCGTATTGTCTTATGTCTTATATAGAGAAAAATGGCCGAAGACGCATAGTACAGGGAAACCTAGTTTGGGCTACTGTCTCCCTCATCTAGTTAAATGAACAGTTCTCCAACTTCATTCTTTTTTTTTAATTCTTCTTTACAGAAAATAAATGTATTATTCCTAAAATATTTACCATAAGGAATGTATCAACCGCGGGGAGTGAATTCAGTCGGTACTCGTTTGGTGCTGGTTTTACGGTTCAGGCACGTGATCGGCGAGGGCGGCGGGCGCGAGGGGGCGTGCGGGGGGCGCGGAGGCGGGTAGCGGGGGCGGAGCGTCCGCGAGCGGCAGCGGCTTCGCCACCCCGATGCGGACCACGCCACGTGGCGCGCCCTTCAGCGCCGCAACCGCTTGCTCTAGACTCGCGTCCTCCAGATTCTAGAAATACAAGATGCATTACATAACAACTAACATTGTGACACGAGAATTTTATATTTGAGAAGATAATAATGTAATATATAGTTTATACCTGATCGTTAACAAAGAGCAGCCGATCGCCGGGTATGAGGCGTCCGTCCTGCTGCGCGACGCCGCCCGGCACCAGCGACCGGATCACCACCAGCGTGTGCGCCGGCCGCAGCGGGTCCTGGTAGTCCAGGATCGAGAAGCCCAGCCCGCGCTCACCCTTCACCAATTCTGTACATATGTTTATTTGTGTTCTTTATCTATATACTATTATAAAAATAAAGTTTCTATATTTCTTTTTTCAGGGTATGTTATAAAGGTATATTATCCGGGAATAATATTCTTTTATAACAGTGTATGAATTTTATTCCTACCTATCGGTAGGTGCTATATAACACAACGCTAAGACCGATAGAAGCGGAGCAGCAAAGTAAGATTTCCAGTGCTTCCTATGCGTGTACTCTGTAAACGGTTAAAGTTACGCTGAAACTATATATCACAGAAATGTTCTCCTTTAAAAGTTCTAAATAATCTTTACATAATCTATTACGGTTATGTCTATGAATTTTTTTTATGGTAATTAAATATCTTATACAACAATATATTACTAGCTGAAGTGTTTTTATAAATGTAATATTAATCCTTATCCAAAAAAATTGGAATAGACATGTCCTAAGCATGTTAGGAGGCAGTACGAATGCGATTACTAGAGCACAGGTAACCCATACCAATAATCTGCGGTTCGGAGGACCACATGGCGAGGCCGGTGAGCGGCTCGAGGCTGCGCGAGCGCACCTTGCCGGCCGCCGCTAGCGCTCCGCCCTCTTCTGCGCCCGCGCCCGCCAGGCTGCCGTCAGACTTCGCCTGTAGACACCATTACAGTTATACTCAATTTTCTTTTACATTAACAATGAAAAAATTCAGTAATAACGATAAACAGAAACGCAAAATCCAGTTCGAAACAATGCAATCTTTTGCGAAGATATTTGTGACATGTAGCACGCGAGGACCCGTCACATTTATTTACTACATTACCCATACTTCTTGTATGAGCGATGAAATTAAGTAAAAACGATAAACAGAAGCTGTTAATCAAGCTCGAAATAAAGCAGTCTCGCATTCTTTATTTTAATAGAACGACAAAAATAATAAAATGAAGATACACGACTATTATCCCAGGTGGCGTAGTCAGAGGTATTATCAATTTTTTCGCGATAAAACATCGATAACAAAATGAATTCACACACTTGATACGCCGATACACAACCTTTCGCTCGGTATATTTGCATTCTACTTATACTGTGTTAAAACAGTTATAAAATCTTAATCAGGCATAATCAATATAATTTGAAAGTCAATATTTAATTATCTTTACGTTGTATAAAATGAAGTCGCTTTTCCTATCTTTTCTCTTAGATCTTTTAAACTATGCAATGGTTTTTAATGCAATTTTTAGCAATAGGTAGAGTGATTCACGAGGAAGGTTTAATACATATACGAAGCGGGTGTACATGTACTAAATGTAATTAGTACTTGTATTAAAAATTAGCTCGAGGTCCTTGGCGTTGATATATCCAGTGACGTTCAGTTTTGCGGTCATTTGGCGGACAAGGCTAAAATACCCTCAAAAAATCTTTGTGTGCTTAGTGAGACGGTATTTCACGGCGGCCCATCGCTTGCAATTATACAAGGCGCAGATCCGGCCGCAGATGGAATACTGTTCTCATCTCTGGGCGGGAGCACCACAATACCAGCTACTTCCATTTGACCGCATTCAGAACCGAGCAGCCAGAATCATTGGTAATCAACGTCTATGTGACAGACTGGACCCATTGGCTTTGCGGCGAGATGTTGCATCTCTGTGCATTTACTACCGCATATATCACGGGGAGTGTTCTGAGGAATTGTTCGGATTATTACCAGCTGCTGAGTTTCACCACCGTACCACCCGCCAGAAACTGAAATACCATCCTGATCATCTGGATGAATGGCGGTCTTCCACAGTGCGGTTTTCTAGAAACTTTTTGCCTCGCACAACCACATTGTGGAATCACCTTCCAGCAATGGTATTTCCGAACCGATACGATATTGAAACCTTCAAGAAAAGAGCTTATTCCTTTTTAAAAGGCCGACAACGTACTTGCAATTCCCCTGGTGTTGCGGGTGCTCATGGGCGGCGGTAATCACTTACCATCAGGTGAGCCGTATGCTCGTTTGTGCCCTGTGTTATTAAAAAAAATAAAAACTACACAAGGCGAGTAGCTAGTTTCTTATATAAATGCATATATACTAGAATGAAAGTGGTGGTGGTAGTGATAACGAGTGGTACCTTGACGAGGGTGGCAGCGGGCGGCGCGAGGTCGAGGGCGGGCGGCGGGCGCGGGCGGGCGCACACCATGCACACCTCGCTTGACAGCTCCTTCAGGATCGATACCACCTCCAGGTGGTTCATGCCCAGCAGCCGGTGCCCGTTCACCTCTATACCAAGAGTTACGTCACGTTCATCATCATCATTTTCGTTCAAAGCTTCTATAGCTAAATAATCGTTCTTTGCTCTAAGTAAGGTAATTGGACTGTCTAAGTAGATGACACATCTGATGGTAAGTGGTAATCGTTGCATGCAAACAGGACCACATACATTAAGTTATCATGTGACGCCTGTGACACCCTTCGCGATGACATTCCAGAGGACTAAGATGTCTTACTTCTTATCTTGTAATTTCACTGCCTTATGCTTGGTAATAATATTTCGCTGAACATATTTTAATTCTGCAGAATGAGTATTAGTCAGATTTAACTCGAGATACAGTGACATAATATAAGTGAATATAACAAAATAAAAATACTCTCTCTACTCATCAAACAGAGCGATTTCCACGTATGATAAGAGTTGACATTACATTTTTACATTACATACATTACATTTTTCAGATTAAAAACAATAATGAATTGATTCCAGCTGTAACTGTCTCACTAATACTTTCTAAACTTTGGTGTATAATATACATTACTTATATTAACTTCGTTTTAACACGCAAAATTTACGTTTCAACTAGGTTGTGCTAGCCGTGGTCACAAGTTGACTGGAGTAACAGCGATGTCAATGTCGGTAGATGACCGCACGGAGCGCACGTAGTGGCGGGTACGTACCGAGCAGCTCGTCCCCGGGCCGGTGCACGCCCGCGCGCCCCACCGGCCCCTCGGGCAGCACGGAGCGCACGTAGTGGCGGGTACGTACCGAGCAGCTCGTCCCCGGGCCGGTGCACGCCCGCGCGCCCCACCGGCCCCTCGGGCAGCACGGAGCGCACGTAGTGGCGGGTACGTACCGAGCAGCTCGTCCCCGGGCCGGTGCACGCCCGCGCGCCCCACCGGCCCCTCGGGCAGCACGGAGCGCACGTAGTGGCGGGTACGTACCGAGCAGCTCGTCCCCGGGCCGGTGCACGCCCGCGCGCCCCACCGGCCCCTCGGGCAGCACGGAGCGCACGTAGTGGCGGGTACGTACCGAGCAGCTCGACCCCGGGCCGGTGCACGCCCGCGCGCCCCACCGGCCCCTCGGGCAGCACGGAGCGCACGTAGTGGCGGGTACGTACCGAGCAGCTCGTCCCCGGGCCGGTGCACGCCCGCGCGCCCCACCGGCCCCTCGGGCAGCACGGAGCGCACGTAGTGGCGGGTACGTACCGAGCAGCTCGTCCCCGGGCCGGTGCACGCCCGCGCGCCCCACCGGCCCCTCGGGCAGCACGGAGCGCACGTAGTGGTGGGGGCGCACCTCACGCCCGCCCTCCACGTCAACAGTGCCCTCTAGCGAGATGCCGAGCCCGCCGCCTCCACGCACCACCACGCCTACCACGATCTCCACCTCCGGGCCTACATCCAGAAACGATACCGTTAACTCTACCAGTCAGATAATAATAATAAAAACACTGGACAATTCACATAACGCCACCTGGTAAAACACAAAGCTAAAACAAAGCTAACTAGAGCTTTTATTATGGGTATCAGATAATAACATATATATATATATACATAGGAAACACGCAGACCGATTCATCATACAAACAAGACAAACAATAATACTCATTAATACTAATATTTAGACCGTGGAGGAATCGAACCCGCGATAATCGGAAACAAGGTGATATCCTAAACAATCCCCAAGTAGGTACGTATATGTAAATATGTGTCTCATAATGTATGAGACACATACTTACATATAATTCAACCAGTAGTTCCTGAACACAAAGTGAAACTGTACAATCGAACGAGATAACATCATCATCATAATCAGCCCAATGCAGTCCACTGCTGGACATAGGCCTCTCCCAAGGCACGCCACTGAGCACGATCTTCAGCCCTTCTCTTCCATTTTTTACTCGCAACCCTACGTATGTCGTCGCTCCACCTAGCTGCGGGGCGTCCTACACTACGTTTGCCAATTCGCGGTCTCCATTCTAGAACACGCCTACTCCAGCGAGCATCGGTTCTACGACAGATATGACCAGCCCACTACCACTTCAACTTGCAAATACGAAGAGCGATGTCGGTGACCTTAGTCTCTGGAGAATTACTTCGTTACAGATTTGATCCCTCAGAGAAACTCCAAGCATAGCCCTTTCCATAGCTCGTTGAGCGACTTTGAGTTGGTGGACCAGTCGTATCGTCAGTGTCCACGTTTCGGCACCGTATGTCATAACGGGTAAGACGCACTGGTTATAAACCTTGGTCTTAAGGCTTTGGGGTAGCGACGACGAGAAGACTTGACGAAGTTTCCCAAAAGCCGCCCAGCCTAGCTGTATTCGCCTCTTGGCCTCCCTCTCAAAGTTGTTTTTACCTAGTTGGAGCGTTTGCCCTAGATAAATATACTCCTGAACAACTTCGAGAGGAACTCCATTAATGCCAACCGGTTCCGGACGAATGCGATCATTGACCATGATCTTGGTTTTGTCCAAATTCATCCGAAGACCGATGCGTTGAGACGACTCAGCCAGGCCGTTCAGCATTTACTGTAAGTCCTGCAGCGATTCAGCCATGATAATGACAATGTCGTCAGCAAATTGTAAGTGAGAGATGTTCTCGCCGTTAACATTAATGCCGTAATTTTTCCAGTCCAGCATTCTAAACATCCTCCAACGCAGTTGTAAACAACTTAGGGGATATAACATCCCCCTGTCTTACTCCACGTTTCAGGTGGATATGCTTAATCCGCTGGTTTTGTACTTGGACGGTCATTGTTGCAGCGTTATAGAGACATCTCAGCACTTCGATGTATCGCCAGTCGACTTGGCATCGCTGCAGAGACTCCAGAACAGACCAGGTCTCGATAGAGTCAAAGGCTTTCTCAACAAAGGCTAGACACAGAGGTTGATTATACTCTTCGGTTTTCTGTATAATCTGCCTAACTGTGTGAATGTGATCTATGGTGCCATAACCACTTCGAAACCCGGCCTGTTCCGGGGGTTGAAACTCGTCAAGCCTTCGCGCAAGTCGATTCGTGATGACTCTTGAAAATAGCTTGTATATATGGCTTAGCCATGATATGGGCCGATAGTTCTTGAGTAGGGTTTTGTCTCCCTTTTTGAAGAACAAAATAACAGTGGCTCTACTCCATGGCTGTGGAGTTCTCCCAGTGAAGAGAACCGAGTTGAAGAGTTCCTGAAGTACTGCAAGTACAGGAGTACCTCCAGCCTTCAGGAGCTCAGTGGTTATCCCATCTTCACCTGGGGCTTTTCCATTTTTGAGCTGTTTAAGAGCCATCACGATCTCGTCACGACTAATTTCGAGCATCTCCTCAGTGTAATGGCGAGTCAGAGTGCAAGACTGCAAGTGATTCAGGCCGACATACGTGTGAGGCGTACAGTTCGCCGAAGAAATCCTCGACTTCCGAGAGAATCTCCGGCTTAGAAGCGGTAACAGTACCTGTCGATGTGGTTACCTTTGACAAGTGGCGTCATAGAACGAGAATAACAATATACAACGAAATAACATTTGTTTGTTTTAGTTCCTAAGTGTGCCACTAGATGGCGATGTTTAGATTTATACATTTATCTACATCTCGCTATTTAGATTTTTTTCTGAATACATATATATAGTCTTTTAATAATGATTAATAAAACAATATAACAACCACTGTGAAAGGTTTCAGTAGTTTAATTTATTTAACTACCCTAATCAAAGTACACCCTTGGGGATCTGTGGATAAGATTATTCAAAACAAATTATGCAGCATTATATATTAGTACAGACATATTTCTCTTTTTTGCAAATACGACATTTGAAAAAGCAGCTATAGAACAAAAAATAATAAAAGCCAATCACCGAGTATGGCCTGCCACTTGCGCTTGATAGCCTCCTTCTGTTCCTGGGTGCGCGGCATCTCGAATGGCGGGTGCGGGCGCGCCGCCACGGGCCCGGGGGCGGCGGCCGCGGGTGGGGGGCTGTGCGGCGGGGAAGCCCCGTCTATACTGTAATAAATCAATTCAAAAATCATTTATTCATAGAGGACATATTAGCTGCTTATGAGTCAAATTTTTTGTATTAATATTTTTTACCTTAAGTATTTACTTGATTATTATATGAATCAAATTATATAAATAAATTTTTGCTCTTATGTCGGATATATTCGCCGTGTAATACACACAGATAATATGGTGTAGATGAAAGATTTTTTATGATATTGAATATTTTTCCAATTTATTAACGTGGCCAGTTTAAGACAAAGCAGCAGTATGTGATACGTCTAGGATTTATAAACTTAAATTTATATGGTTTATTACTTTCGCCTAAAAGAATTTAAAAAAAAAGAATCTGTGTAAAATTGTGTTGGCAAGACAATTATACAAATACATTTATTTTTATTTTCCAATACTGTGCAATATTATTAAACCTCGTTTGGAATCATCAATGAATTACATCAATCTAATTTCAGACATTGAAAATGGGAGTACATTTTACACTCACTAAAAGTCACAGCTGTGTATACAATGTTACTACTTAACATGTGACATGATTTATAGATAGCCCCTTTGCCTACATAAGCAAATATTAAATTTAAAAAAAATAGCCTTACGTAGTGTGCAAGTGTGTCATCTGTATGTGGTGTTCAGTAGGCGCGTCGGCGCGGTGCATGTGTAGGAAGGGGTTATGCGCCGGCGCCGCTCCGGTCGCCGCTGCGCTCTCACCGGCCGCGATCGCCTGCTGCAGCTGCTCGAACTTCGGTCCACGCAGGTACCTGCCCACATGATACTTTACACGTATGTTCTCTCACGCGCAAAACGGCTTCAACGCAGCAAACAGTGACAATTTAAATGCAATAAAAGACAACAAGAAAGACTGCACACAAGAAATATAAACCGTTGTCTATACACACGAGTGATAGAGCATCACAGAATTAACTGTGACCATTGTGGTCTTCCCATTCATTGCCATTTTTGAGGACAAAAAGTGTTATCTTTGAATAATATAATTTCACTGCCATATTTTACCTCACAACTCGCAACAAAGGTTGTGATGAAAACAGCTTAGCGGCCGTTATGAAATCTCTTAAGATATCTTAAGAGATTTCATAACTGCAGCAGTGGATTTCATTAATGCTTTCATTGTTAATCAAAATTGGCTAGTCCCTATTGATTAATCTTTTAAAATAAATATCAACATTATTACGTTATTGAAGTCAATTAATGTTTCCGTCTGCTCCCGCGTCCTTCTATCGTGCGTTTTTAGCGGCTTTATGTAATTAATTGTTGTAAAAATGACGCATATTATGGAGCAAAGACATAATTATAGAAGTCATTGATAGTTTATAAATCTTAATCGAGTCTTTGTAAAGTAAAATGTGTGGAATAAAAAATAACGTTTTAAAAGAAAGTGTATAGTGACTTGAAACATTTTAGATTGCGAAATGGTTTATAGCTACAAAAGTAGGATAAATTGTTAAATTCTTATAAAATAAAATTTGAGAATGTATACAATAATTGTTCACCTCTCTAATTCCAAGGTTACGATATTCCCGCTCTGCTTGAGTGCATCAACAGCGCGCTGGTTTGACTTGCCAGCAAGCGAGACGCCATCGACAGCGACGATGCGATCATTGACCCGCACTCTTCCACTTAGAGCGGCCGCACTACCAGGTGTTACTGATTTTACAAATATGCCAGACAATTCTTCTTTTTCGCATACATATCCTGTAAATATAAAAAAATATGATGCGCTAGCGATATACTAAAAAATCGCTAGTATTTTGATGTCTACAATATATATACATAATATAGCCAAGGTATTGTTCGCCTCCTAGAGATACCTATACAACGAGGATTCTCGTACAGTTAGCAACTCTTTCTATCTGAATAAAAGCACAATGCACGTACGTGGCGCTATTGTGTGTTTAGCCAACAACTCAACAACAGCACTACTTATGTATAAGTATCTTACAATTATGAAGTAGTGAATAAGAAAGTTAAGTAAAGTTCATGTTCATAGTTATTTGCAATATGTATAATTAGGTATTTAGCTTACCCGCTATTGTAATTCCTAGGCCATTCTCATCTTTCTTTAGTTGCACAGTAAACCGGTCCACTTCTGGCGATTCTGCATCTAAAGTATATCAAATGTAACATATATTAGAATAAATTCTATTAAAGAATGTTATCTGTTGTCGTAGTAATATTGGCAACCCTTTATGGCAAAGTTATTTCCAGGGGAATTAGAATCGTGAAATTTACTGAAACCAGTCAAAGGAACTAACTATAAGAACTAAGAAGGACAAAGAGACTCAGCCAGTTATAAGAAATAAATTCAATGACGAATCCTATTTTTTTTAATATATATATTTATCTCAAACATAAACTAAAGTATATTATTTATCACAAAAAAAAATATTGCTAAAGTAGTGACATGTAACTTGTCACCTTTATTACAGTATCAGAATATCACAGACTTAGTACAGATTGCAGCTGCTATACTGAATCTCTGAAATTTGTGTACGAAAGTTTCGGACTTTCGTAAAGAAACAAACACAAACATTTTTTTTTTAAGTATAATGTGAAATCTATACCGGAATCGGGTGGTGGAGTAATCGATTGATCGAACACGAATCTCGATGCAGTTGCGGTGTGAGGTAGAGACGTTGGCTGCGTGTGAAACACTTGTTCGAACCCAGCATCTAACAGATACCGATCCAAAGCTTCAGGTTCCGATAGCAATCTGAAAAACGTTCAACAGAGATTATATGATGGGATGCTTATGACGCATATTTTGAGGATATGAGTATAGAAAATAACAAATTCTATAATTTGGTTGATTAATGTAATCTCAAGTAGACTCCACAAATTTCTGCATTGATATAATTAGTAAGGTAAGAAGTAAGATTCTTTAAAAAGACTGCTGTAATTCAACAAAAGTTTGTGCCGTCAAAAGCACCTGACACCCCTGTACCTGGCGGACACAAGAAGCGCGGGGGGGTGATGGGGCGCGGCAGGGTCGACGGATCTCGCCACCACCAACCACACGCGCGATACCGAAGCGTACAGCCCGTCAGTAACCTTTTCCGACCCGTCTCAATAAGAGGCGTGTCGTGGATAGCGTGTGGAGTGGTGGTACCTGGCGGGCACTACTGGCGCAGGGGCGTGATGGGGCGCGGCAGGGTCGACGGGCCTCGCCACCACCAGCCGCACACGTGATCCCGACGCGCGCAGTACTCCAGCCACCTGCTCCGACCCCATCTCCATCAGGTGTGCCTGCATATCACATCCATTTTCTAAAAGCTTCATCTCTTTTTTACTATATACTACATTTGTGTACTGTGTATTTTTTTTCACACATATAAAACATGTATGAAAAAAATAAGTAGTAGACTCTAAAATGTATCATAAATGTCTGAAGTGTTGTTCATGTACATAGGTGACAGTTACCACTTAATCTGGTGGGCCATTAGCTTGTTTTCCATTCCAATTACATCAAAAAAATGTTAATTAATCTATATAATATTCATAAATGATAATGATAATCAATTATTGCATATATCAGGATGATATTAGCTTATTCAGTATGTTGTATAATCACATTGTTTATTGCCTGTTTAGAAACAGGTTTTTTATGGATGATTATGGAATGGTGCACCCATCTGTACTAACAGTTTGTGCTGGCTGGTTTGTCTTATCATCCTCCACTTGTGCACACAAGTGGAGGATAAGACAAACATGAGGTCTAGTCAGTTGGCCCATTGTGATAGATTCACCAGGAATTTATCACATCATAGGTTCAGAATTCATACTCACATCTCCAATTTGTAAGATATGGTCACCAGATTTAAGACGTCCATCACGGTCGGCTACACCACCAGCTAGAATAGTTTTCACTATAACACCACTAGTCCTAGCACCAATTATGCCTGAAAACATAATTTTTAATGTATAATTTTTAAGAATTTTTCTAATATAATCTATGAAATAAATATATCTGTCACTCACTTAGCTGACTCATTATTGACAATATATAAAAATTTTCCAAGTGGAACATTCATACTAAATCTTAGCAGAAACATATTTACAGAAAATACAATTAATATAGAGTAATATCTGAATTTAGTAGAAATACAGTAGTAAAAGCTATTGACATATACTGCTACATTACATGCTTTAGCTACTGTATTTGTTTCATTAAACAAGACAATGAAATCAGAATATTGTAGTTTTAAGATCCTATAAGATGTATTTAACTGAACTGAGCTCCTATTGCATAATTGCTAAATTATTGTATTAACAAAATAATGCTATGTTTTTTCTAAAAAATGTAGGAGTTGTAAATAAACAAGTAGTTTCAAATGCAATATTATTCTTGAAAAATAAAGTTGCAATGTGGTATTTTACCAAATCCAAGTCCAGTGCCATCATTAACTAAGTTGATTATTTCAACCTGCGCCCAATCGCTGGCAACTATATTGTGAGATGTAGAAGGAAGGGAATCATCATTACGAGTCATTTCAAGTAATCCATGGACCTGTAAAAAGATTATAATATTTTTTTATTCCTATAAATAAATTCCTAGGTGAGGGGACAAATGCATAATGCATAAGCACATGCAACACCAGGAGAATTGCCTGCCTATTGTATATTGTACTACTATTTTGTGTATACTGTAAATAATACATAGGTTTTCATGAATTGCTGACTTGACAAATTTTGTACTGGGTCTCACACACTTCTAAACTATGTCTTTATACTAATGATAAATAGCATTATTTAAGATACCAAGACACAAATTATATGATTTGTCATCATATTAATGTGTTAACAAATATTTAGTCACAATATTTCTAAATTTTTGTTATATTGCAATTGCTCTGTTAGGCATATACATTAAACAATCAACAACAATGTGGGAAAATAAACTTGTTATTATTACAATTTTTTCATTTATTATCACCTTATGAAACTTACTCAGATTTCTACAAATATTCTAAACCCAAAATTATACAAAATAGCTGTCCAGCTATTCTTAAGTTTTAGTCGGACATATATAAATACATTTTTATCTCTATAGTAGTTTGCCTTACTGTGTCTCTATACAATAATAAAAACTATTTTTAATAATAACTGTCTAAACATATTATAATGTGACTATTACATATTATCATCTATTGTTTAAAACAAACAAAAATTAATAGTTTAGTACTGGCATTCATCAATTTAGTAAAGAACCATACTAGATTTTATTATTCAATTGTTGGTATATTATACATCATACTTACTTTTGAATACTCACAAAATAACTATGAGTAATTATTGTTGTAATACATAAACTAAATCTATTCTTTTTTATTTGATTCTAAAGCAGACATTTTACCTGTTTAGGAGACATGTTGGAATCAACAGAAGCAGTATCAATGCCCAAGATTCGTTCATTGTCAGAATTAGATCCAAATTCTAAACTGTGAGGTGGAGAAACTTGAGGAACTCTCTGTTCTTCTTCACCTTCATGACCTCCATATAAATTTCTTGCTTGCAAAGCAAGATCACCTGTAAAATAAAAAATAATTTGTTATGGCAATAATTCAACAGTATAGACAGCCAATTATTAAAACATACATTTCTTTACATAGTAATAGTTAATTACATCTAGTACTTTGATATATATCGTTTAATGATATGCATGGTATTCCACTGCTGCTTGATGCATTAATGTATGTATGTAATGATACCAATAAACACACAACAAGGGAAGTCTTATTTTTGTGTCCAAAGCAAATAAAACAGATTTAGGTGGTCATATTTTGAATAGAACTTTATACAAACAATTAATATTACCAGCTGGTGTTATATCAAAGTCTCCAGGAAGAATAGACGGATGATGAGCTACTTGAGTAGCGAGCATGCCCACGGAGTCATGAAGAGTAGCAATACTTCTTAAAATGGGACTATCCAAAAGATTGATAAGCATATTCAAGTCATCATTAGTGGCAGCCTGTCAAGGAAAAAAAGATTACTAATTATTCATAGTCCAGTATTTAGATATAGGATGCAAAAAGGAAATAACTTACCTTTAATTTTGGATCATCACTTTGGTCAACAGCAGCCTTCACACTCTCCAGTTGTTGTAACGCATTTGATATATTTACTCCGAGATGCATAATGAAAAATGGAGACTTCAATGAAAACAAATTTTGATAAGTTTGCGTTTATTTGAAATAGAAAAAGGAAATTAAGAATAAAATATTTTGTTTGTCAATTTCTATAGTGATTTTATTTTATAATTTATATTAAGGTTCTGGAAACTAGCACACAAAGAGTGAACAAAGTATCGTACTCTGTACATAGTTAGTGTTCTGAGTTCTTACAAGTTGCCAACCTCAGAACTATTCGCCGAAAACAAGTAAAATAACGCTTTGATCAATTTGGCATAAAGCCATAAAATATCAAATTTACCAAAGTAAGAATGTGGATGATAGTTTAGTTACTATTTTAATTATATTATGGTACTTATACTTAGAATAGTATGGACAAGAGATAAAATATCATAGGGATAGCAATAAACCAAATAAAGGCTCAAAACCTATAACATACTTCGAAATTTCGAATTCAGATATGTATGTGTGTGTAATCTTTTTATTTCTTTATTTTTTCTTCTTTTGGTTCTGACGATTTCTGTCGCCATTAACCAAACATGCGGTGCTTCCTAACTCAATAGTAAATAAATCTATCAATCTCAATAGACTCAACACTCATTAGTCTTATCAAATATCGATTGAAATATTGATGACGAATGAATATTCATTAATTTTATTATGAATATTATACTCATTCATTCACTGTACTGACAAGTGACAAGTGATAAGATTAAAAAAAAAGTTTTGTTTAACGTCAATCAATTTAAAAATACATATTTTCCGACATGAAGTGTTTTATTTTATTAATTTATTTTTATGTTATTTAATAATTACCTTATTAAGACTTAAACATTCTAACTATACTTTTTTATTTCATATACAAACAAAATAAACTTTGAAATACTTACCGGTATTAAATATCTTTTTATATATACATTTTTTATTCTGAATTTCATAGTTTTTTTTAATGTTTATTTCTTTTGTATGTATAATATAATGAACTGTTTTTTTTTTCAGATTCATTATTATCAGAATCGTTGTCAATACCACTAATATTGCACAATATTTTTTTCTAAAATGACTAGTGGCGATGATTTTATTGATTTAACGGATTCTTTCACTTTAGTTGATCATTGTGCTCTATCAAATGTAGTAATAGACTTGGATACTGATGATTCATTTGTCAATTCCCCTGTGAGTAGAGAAGGCAAAAAAAGAAGACATACTACTTCGAAGACATCATCGACAGTAAAAGTAAAGGTAATTATATTTTTTACTTTATAGCTACACAGTTTTTTATATTATTTCTCACCTACTTACCTATGGCACCAGTGGTGTATCACCGGATGAGAATGATGGAGTCAGACCAGTCATCTCATTATGGCAAATTCCACTGATATTATTCTTAATGGTTTTAGGAAGGGCCACAGGGAAGGGAAATAGTGATAGGGTACTTTTCTAACAATGAAGTCATTCAAGTCTACTACTAACAATTTCCTCCACCCAACATTGCAATAAATAAATAAATAAAATTATATCATTGTTTTAGTTGTAAGTGATATAAATTTGTAATTGTATATTCAAATCGAATTGTAATATTCCTCCTCAGTAATATTGAGTACACAAAATCTCTAATAATAAATAAACCCCATACATAATAATTATTATAAATGTATTTCAGCAATTTGTATGGGTAGAGTGAGAATATACCCTCTGAAATTATTTCTGAAAGTGTTATGAACTTATTATCTTTTTCTTGCCTGATGTAAGTCTTTTATAGCATAGTAATTGTCTCTTGCTGAGCTCTTGCAAATAGTAGTATTTATTGAAACAACAAAGTCAGTCTACATGAATTCAATTTTGTAATTAATTTTAAATACATATTCATCATATTCATATTACATTTGGGTATATATTCTCATCATGTCACTTGTAACCATATTGTTCTCTGTATATATAATAGACCAATGTCAATAAATACAAACAAAAATACATTTTTGTTTCTATGTTTCAGAAGAGTATATCTTCTAATGTATCTACAAAACAAGATAGTGAGTCTAAAAAATTTAGTGCTTGTCCTATTTGTTGGGATGAATTAGGTAATAACCCACTAGCGTCAACAAAATGTGGTCATGTATTTTGTTTGAAATGTTTGGAACAATATCTGAAGATTGAGAAGAAGTGTCCTACTTGCAGGCAAGTGTTGAAAGGAGCAAATGGATATCATCCTCTGTACCTAAATCTAAATTGAATTAACACTACAAAAAATGTGACAAGTATTTCAAGACACAACTAGTGTATGGTAATTTTTTCATACAATTCATACCTGTCTATACACTCGGTTTACACTTGAAGATTCAAGTTATTTGTTGCAGTGGCATCAAATTGAATCCTTTATCTTATCATGTGTATTTCAAAAGTACAATTAGACATTCGTTTATGAGATCTGCCATGAAAATGCAATTAATATTAGTATTAATTAAAATTTCATGGTTAATGAAGGAACTAACTGACATTGTTATAAATTTATTCTGGAATAACAGTACAAAACTGTATTAGATTAAAATCAAAATTAAGATTAGAAGAACTGACTTGATTTGGATGCAAAAATTATTAACATAATAACTTTAGGAATTTCAAACAACACAATCTGAGCTAAGTTAATATTATGTTTAATTATTTTGTAACATTTCAAATCCATTGACAAACATTTATATAATGTATGGTTATATTTGACAGCTTTTGTGCCCATGCAGTTTTGCACACTGCATAATTTCCAGTGGTCACAGGTTTGATTCCTTGCACAATGCAAACATTTATATTCATGAGTATGAGAGATTGAATTGCTCTGGGTGTTTTCTATGTATCTACAATTTAATAATAATAACCTGAGATGACAACTCACACCAACATCTAATCCCAAACTAAGCAGACCTTGTGTTATGGATACTAGTCAATTGATACAGATACTTAAGAACATTATTTTTTTGAAAATTCATACCTAATAGACATAGAAAACATCCAATTGAAGTATTTATCTATAATACACAAGCTCTGTTTTGCAACTAGATGCTCCTGTGCATCCAGTAGGTACCTGATGTAAATTATTTTTAGGAATACTTATGTTTATAAAAAACTGAATTTAATACATTTATTTATGTAAGTATTGACACTAATATTACTGTCATATTTTCCTTATTAGCCATCTGTATCATAATATATAAATCCTAAATACAATTGGAAGTAGTAAATTATCAAATATATAGGATCATATATTATGTATATATTTTGGTATCATGAACAGACTTGAAACTAGAATTAATCTCATTAGTCTATAAGCTACATAACAATATAAAACTTTATTACAACATCAGTAGTTTCACAAATTAACAAATTGATATAACTATGGTCCCATATATTTGACAGTATAACAATCTTAAAAAGAGAACTGTAAAATAAAATACCCTGTTTCAATAATTAAGCTATTGATAATAATAAATAAGTTTTCTATAATGTTGTGTTTATGTAAATGAGTATTTCTCTGCATAAAACTTACAAAATTATTCCTATGCAAAACTACGGTTAAACAAAAGATAGGTTATGTGTGTTCTCATGAAAGATCCTGTCTTTACTTCAAATTTCTTAAATATCCGTTCAGATGATAAGTTGTGAGAAACAAATGTACAGACATACTTTCACATTTAGAGTATTAATTTTTATATAATATCTATTAGAGATGTAATGATATGTCTACACTTCAAATCATCTAATTATATCTACTGTTTAATAGTGTTATACATGTACAGCATAAAACATAGTCTATTTACATCCCATGGGATTACTAGTTTCGAGCACAAGTTAAAATTATTGATAATAATTGATTTATGGAAATCAAAAAGCCATTAGAAATTTTCCAGATGTCGCCTATTAGAACATATATACATATAATACATAAGTATTGGACGCTAAACAAAACCAGAAACTATCAGACAACACAGAAATCTTAGAAGCTCATGAACAATTACTTGGTTTACCTCAATTATGTGGATATTACCGAAGAAGGTAGTCTATGGAGTATATATTGAAAAAAATGTGTAATCTTTTTTTCTACTTTTTAACTATCATAGCAATCTCAATTTTGCTATGATAGTTAAAAAGTAGAAAAAAAAGATTACACAGAATATTATATGACCATGAACAACTTGTGAATGACTAACAGGACTACAAAATTTTGGGCATATCTATATATGCCGAAATAATAATTAAACTGCGTTTGAATTTGAATCTCTAGCTGACGAAGCGGCAATATAAACATCTAAATATCTATTTGAAATGATACAGTTCACTGATTTGAAAATAGAATTTAATCTTTAATATACCTATATTACCACAGAACAATTAAGTATATAGAAAGATACTAATGAAACTATTTAAAAATTATTGCCAACACGCACAACAAGTCCTCATATTTGTTCATAAATTTAATTATTGGACTACATATCCAACAAAATAATATTGTGTTTATAAATGTTTTAATTAAATTAATGTGACTTTGCTCAAATGCAGTACAGAATATGAGTAACCCGCGCGAACTAACACGCAGATCGAGGTACGAGTTTAACGCAGTTATGGCATTCGGTTACTATTTCTATCTTTATTTGTTCTTTGTATATAACAACAATTTTAATAATAGGAAGTATATTAACATGAGGTTATCTGTAACGTTAGATATTGGTATTATTTTTAGTAGTATTTTTCAAAAGAAATGCCATGCCATGCACTCTAAAGTGTTTTTCTAAGTCATCAAGATTATCAAACTGATCTCTGCAAATTCTACATTGATTATCATTTAATGGTTTCACGAGATCAGTATTGTCTTGATATTTGATTAATGCATTTTCGTTATAGCATTGTTTATGTGTTATGTATTCATCTGCATTAGCAATGCCATGTTCTACTAGCAAGTGAGTGGAAAACGATGGTTTCACGACAAAACTTTGTCCACACTCCATACACTGATATGCCATACATGGGTCTCTATGACTCACCATATGAGTTTCAAACAATGCTTTAGTTTTAGATATATAATCACACTTACTGCAGGAGTAAACAGTATTATCCTTGGATACAATTATATCGACAGTAGTATTTGACGGTGTGTCGTTAGAGATTTTATTGTTTGTGATTATCATTATCTTTGTTCTTTTAGGTCGCTTCTTTTTCATTGGGTGTTCTTTAATTTGCTTCTTCTTTTTAAATAGTTTTTCTACATCAGTGCGCTCCAAAACTATTTTAATGTCGACACATTTGTGTTCTTTGTGATTAAAGGCATAATGTTTTTTTATCTCTGCCCAATTTTCAGAAATTTTATTTTCACACATATGACACTTTATCTCAGTTCCTATGTTTTCATTTAGCTTAGCAATACTTTCGGAATTTGTGATCCCTAAAGAACATTTGTATGGACATTCGTTTGAAAGAACTGGTATTTCTTTATATTTACATTTGTATGTGAAACTTCTTTGACATCTTGAACATTTTTTTACCACGCGGAATATTTTGTTTTGTTCTGCTTTATCTCCGGTTTTATGGTGGACAAAAGACAAATATACATTTCTAACTTTTCCAGTTGGATTATGATTATTCAGATGGTGCTGGAGCAAATGCGAGACATCTTTAAACTTATCGCCGCATCCCCAACATGGGTATATAGTGGTATTGACGTGAGTCTTCAAGTGATTATCCATTTGATTGTGCAGCACTAGTCTACCAGGACACATTTCACATTGATAGAATATTAAGGCTTTACATTCCAAAGCATGTGTTTTTAAATGTTTACGTATAGTCTGCTCATTAAAGCACGCTACAACACAAAACTGACACTTGTATACTTTTTTAAGATGGTCTTTTTTCATGTGCTCTTTGAAAGCGTTGGGATGAAATAAATTACAACCCGCTATGAGACATTTGTATCTAGCAGTAGCTCTCATCATTTTGAAACCATCGCAGTCATGATTATATGGATAGTGTATGGCTTTATTTGATAAACTGATACCACATTCGGGACAATAATATGGTGGCGATTTCAAGTGTATACGAAGATGTGCTTTTAAACCACATATTGTAGGCATTGCAAATAAACATACAGGACACGTATAAACTTCATTTGTGAACTGCATATAATGTTTCCCTCTGTCTTTATACATTACTCCTGTGACAGTAATATCAGTTTTGCATTCAAAACACGAATGGTTGATTTTTTTCTTTGCTTTATCAGATTGTGAAGGTTGTTGAGAATTACCCTGATTCGAAACATTGGTAGAATCAATCCGAAAATAAATTTGGGGTAGAGGCTCTAATATCAAATCACTAACATTAATTGTTGCAGTCTTGAATGTGTGTGATCTTATGTGTGCGAGTAAATTACATCTGTTGAAAAAAATCATCACGTTGTTGCATTGACGACAAGTATATGTTATTTTGACTGATTTGCGCGATACGTGTTGTTCATAACTTGATTCAAAGACAAATCTGAAACAATAGTTGTAGAATGGTTAAAAAATGAAAATGTGTATATTACTATTGAATTATCAGATCTAAAAGTTCATATATCTGTCTTATCCGGTCCCCCTTGTAATCCTACATAGTCTATTATTTATTACTGAATATTTTTTTGACAATATCCTTCAGAGTGCATATACGTACATACATATATAACATAGAATCTTATCACTGGATCTGTAATTTGTTGGATTACAAGATACTCTTTTGTAAAAAATTCCGGACTATAGGGACCGTTAGGCAGCACTCTATAATTCAACAAATTCGATGGGCCGACACTGCCCTGCAAAACGTTTGTCGGATAACTGGGGGTCCAATGTACTTATATTTAACAGCAACAACTACTAAAAATAATGTTACTACAATGTTTCAAGGAGGCGCATTAATTAGTCGGGGTAGTAAACTAGGGCCAAGAGGTTCTCATTTACTAGCTTTCTCTATATTATGCTATTGATCTATCTACATGTTACTAAAGCATAGCAATAATAATAATAATAACCTATCACCACAGTCATTGCACGCAAAAGTTTTATAGCCGCTTGTTGGTACAGGTATCGCGTAATGTGGGGTAGCTCGGTAAAATAAAAGATTTTTAATGCTATATTGCTCATCAATTGTTTCATCCGCCATGTTGAGTTTTATCTGAAAAAAAAATTTCATACATTATTATCCTAGTTTTAGGGTTAATGGACATGGATAACAACTATAAATTAGATATACCTAAATATACAGAATGGTTAGCACTACAATTCAGTACCAAAGAGTTGCAATGGGAGAAAAAAGTGGGTGTGGGGGGGGAAGGGTGGGTGTCTAGTGGAAATTAGTGGATTAGGTTGATACCCATCCGGTCGCCCCTGGAAACTGGTTATATCAGCACAATGGGTTAACAGTTAACATTGTCTTGGGAGACAAACCTACTCCTACTTATTTATGACGGGGGAAGGGGATTGTTAGTACTGTAGCACGGCAGAGCATGGTACGGCATCCACACAGTTCCCCCTGAAAACCATAGTGATAAATTCTTGGTGAATTTGTTACAGTGGACCACCTAACCTAACCTCATCCTCTATCTACTGGTGCGCCAGCGTAAACCGTTAGCGCAGGCGCAAGCATAACATTATCATTCAGTGAAAAGAAAACTTTGATTGATGATTAAATTATAACAAACATGTTGTTTAACAAAAATAATTTCAATAATTGCCGCTGACATTTTACCGGGCGCCCCTATTGCCTTAACGTCTGTATGCGGCGCAGCGCGGCCCTAGTGCCTGGCCAGCGTATAACATTGGCGGAGGTGGTTGTACCACTCCACATTCATTCGTAAAAAATCTGTTGGCGATATGCAGCGCTGTGTAGTTGTAAGTATATCTTATATATAAAATTCTCGTGTCACAGTTTTCGTTCCCATACTCCTCCGAAACGGCTTGACCATTCTCATAAAATTTTGTGAGCGTATTGAGTAGGTCTGAGAATCGGCCAACATCTATTTTTCATACCCCTAATTGTTAGGGGTAGTCCACCCCTAAATTTTTTATTTTAATTTTAAGGCAAAACAACGTTTGCCGGGACAGCTAGTAACATATATAATTTACGCGCAAACCACATAACATAATAAAAATTACGTGTCACGTTGTTTGTCCGCGATGGACTCTAAGTCTAAATTACTGAACCAATGTCAAATTTGACTTGCACATGGTGTGCAATTTGATCTAATTTGAAAGATAGGATAGCTTACATCACAATTTATAGTCGCAATATTATTTAACCTTAGCCACAGCAACGCGTGGCCGGGTCTGCTAGTTAAAAATAATTCCCAACTTCAGAAACTGATGTTTTTAAAGTTGGATTAATAATACGAATGTGCAGATATTAGATAACAAGTGTTTATTCTATTCATAATTTACATGAAAATACTTTAAAAATAGCAAAAGAGTTAATCTATACTACTTTACAATGGATTTTCTTTCGGTCAATTTAGTGCTAAAACCAAAAGTACATTTAACTATACCAGAAATTCGATCGTAGACTAACGCAATTAACTAGAATGTACTCCATGTTATATAATCTAGATTTTGAAATTTACTTAACTGAATAGATGCACATGTTCAAATGTTATAGTGTGTGTGTGCGCATTAAAGTTCACGGATGTTGAGAGTTGCCAGCACTTTACTAAAATTATCTTAACGCATTATTCATATCTCATATGTAATTATCAAAAATATAATAATAATGTAGACATAATTAAATTATTTTCAGATAAAAATAGCTGCATAGTCTGTAAATTTGTGTATAATCTACTGTAGTTATATTATCTAGATTTAATTTTAGTAGTGTCTACAAGCCTTGTTGTTTATATTTTAAACTCAAGGGAATTTGCTTTCTTCGTCTTATTCTAATGGCGTGGACCAGAACCTTAGCTTGCCTATACAGCTTCCACAAACAAAAGGCTACGCTATAAAGCAGCTGTAGTCTTGTCTAACGGATACGGCTTTAGTCTGAGGGCACATCTAGGAGTACGAAACATGGTTCAGGCTCAGTACATTTTCAATCACAGTTGGACAGTCGGATTGATCTACCCTCCCTATAAATACTTATCGATAATGAAAACTCGTTTTAAAGGTAACAAATACTACCTAAGTAAATATGTTCTATTATTTAAGAAATAATAATAAAAAAAGAATAACGACAACGACATTCTAATTACGAAATTACGATTATTAACTGACGTATGTTTAAAATTTGCTGGTTGCAATACAGGGAGGCAATTCAGTTTGGATTTATTTTTCTTGAGGAATAAGTTGTCATGCGTACTAAATATATGTAAATATACCATATAACTTATAATACTACAGGTATGTAAGACTTAACTTCAAACTTGAACACTTATTTAAATACACCATGACTACAGACGTGGGTTAACTTTATAATGGAAACATTAGCCTTAAACTAAACACTAGCTTCAATCTATAGTCCACCACTGACTGTCCATATATTTCTAGCGACGAGAAAAACCTTTATATAATAACTTCGTATATCATAATTTACCAGCAATGATGGAAAATCATAATGATATGGCAATACTATATAGTTCGGTCAAAAATAATTTCACCTCGTTTTGATTAATGTATAAAATATCGTGCTTTCTACACTATTTATATATATATATTATGTACTTACTTATAAGTGCAATAATAACTACATAATCGTCCACTTTTGATCGTATTAATATAAAAATATTAGCACGAGTTATTCACGCACTTTGACAGCAATGAAATTGAGAACGTCCTTTAGTGAAAATAATAAAGTATCGCCATTATAAAAAAGTAATAAATGTTACCATTAATAAAAGAAATAAATTTCAACTGATTAAAATAAAAATTGAGTTAATACTGTTTTCATTTCTTAATATTGTGAATTATTTTTCAACTTTTTATTCTGTAGCCGTTACTATTTTCTCTAAAATTAGCAGTATGATATTGTAAAAAACATCAATGAAATCTATTCCATCTTTTTATCAGTAATAAATTTATAATTATTTTACAGACATAAGGCATACATGCATAGTACTCATAACTTTGTTCAGTCAAGTCAAAAATCAAAATGTTTTAAAATTTTATAAAATAAATGTGACTTCTTTTTTGTGCTATTTTGTTATTAACAAATGTCATTGTTCATTTAAAAAGCTCTAATATACTTTGCATAATATTGCTGTATAACTATTATTCGGTATTAATACTAAGCATTATTAACGCAACCTTACCGAAAAGTGTTGTGTGTCGTTAAATTAAACTGTCAAATATTTGTTGATGGTAATACTAAGCACCAGCGCTGGTTTGTGGGGCGATACGAGTAAAGTTTTAAGTAGCAGAACATATCATTTTAGAGGTCTAAGAGCAAATAAAACAATGTTGTAATAACACTACAGTAGCTAAGATCAGCAATAAAAGTTAAAGATTACATAAATCATTAAATTTTGATATCATCATTTCAGACTAATATGACATTGAATATAAATATTGTTCTTGGCCCCATAAGCCACATTGCAATGTTTTCACTTGGCTGATATTGAAACAGTGATATCAGCTGTTTAAATCGATGTCAGGCAGGTACATGTTAATATGCTGCTATGGCACTAGCACAGTAGATTAACATAAATTCATAGCACTTAGACCATTGTGGCAGTTCCACTAGAAACGGAACACAATGGTTTATAGGACGTAGGGGGATCGTAAGGAGTAAAGTAGTCTTTATAGAATAGGTCCATTTATGAGATATAAATTCCATCTCAAAGCGGGCAGTTTTAGGAATTCATATAATCGGTAATGACAATCACTGGATATTATTTTTGGTACATAAGAACAAATTTTTAATAAGGTACTAAATAAAAAAGAGTTTAAAACTTAAAATATATTAGACATATTTGGTCTTAGACAATATAATATGGCACTTAATCTTCTTCTTCACGTTAAATAAAAAATTGTTCGAAACTTAAAATATAATAAGCATATTTGGTCCTAGACAATATAATATGGCACGTCATCTTCACTAAATTTACAATCGCTGATAACAATAGTCTTGGAGTCTGTAATATTTAGTTAAATTATACAAATATATTTAAAAAAATTACAAATTATTAGTTTCAATTTTCTAATCACATTCCATGACAACAAAATTAATGGAAATTTTGTTATAGTATTAGAAACAGCAGCCTGGTGACACTATAAATTTGTTATGAAAACAATGTTTGCTATTTAATAAAAGTTATTAGGTACATCAACACTGGCATATATACTAGCTACATATGTAATCTTTGGTTAAATTACACTACAGTAAAATATTAAACAGATAATTTTGAAATTATCTCCAGAGAAGGCACATATTTATAAAATTTACATTATTACATAAGTGTATTGCTTTTTATTTTTATAATATTTTGGTATATCTTTTTATATCTACATTAAGTAATTTTCCCTTAGGAATTACATTAAGTAATTTTCTACATCGGCAGAATTTTGATTACTATAGTATACAGAATTTTGGTTTAGGAACCATTATAATAGTGATTGTATCCTTGATCAAACAATTTCAGAAGTTCCTTTTCTTGATTATCACGCTTTAAGTAATTAATAATATCAGCATTTTCAATGAAATCCTCAGACTGAACTAGAGTGCTATATATTTCCTTATTATGTAGCATGTCATCATCATCAGGCATTAAAGCTAAATATGTAGCTGTTGACTTAGCAGCCTTTTTAAAATCATTTAAATGATAATAACATATTTGTAAATAGTTCAACATGTCTGCCAGGAAGTGCACACCTGAGTCATATTCTATTAACTTTAGATTATTTTGACAACTTTGCCGACACTCTAAGTATGATACTATGTAATTAGACATCACTATAATGAGTTCAGATTGTTCCTCCTCACGTTTTGATTGGTGTTCACATTCTACTCTGCAGTTTTCTTCCCAAAATATATACTCTAAAATAGCTTCCTCTAGATTATCAATAGTCTTATCCCAGATGCTTTGCTTATAAAAGTTTAAGGCTCTGTCAAATAATATAGCATAGTGTTCTTTTTCCAAATCCACTACCTCTTCTCTTTTTACACTTGGTTTATTTAGATAAGTCTGCAAATGTTGCTTCATTTCAATATCGTCAGGCTGTAAAGCGAGAAAAGTTGCAGCAGCTGATGCTGCACTTTGGACATCATGAGTTTGATAGTAACATACATGCAAGTACTGATATGGTTTTCTGTTTTGCATATTGTGTAAAATAGTAGTAGAAATATCACTGTTTAAATTATTATTTTTAAATTCTTTTTCTTGGCACTTATATAGACAGTGTCCTCTATTGAAAAGTACTTCATATGTTTTTAAATCATCATGAAGGTCATTTAAAACAGGTTTCTGATACTGATTTTTACACTTTATTCTGCAGTTGATAATAATAGTCTTGTAAAGTTTGAACAAATATAAGGATTCTTGAAACCACTCTGTACACTCTTCCCAATGTTCTTTTGAGTAAGCTTGATAACCTTTAATGTATGTTTCATCAACTGAAGATAGATTATAACTGTCACTAAACACTACTTTATGTATGACGAAGAATAAAATAATATATACAGACATAATTTTATATTGAGTTTTATAAAATCTATATGAGATGTAATTTTTTTGTTCGAAGTTATTGACACACACTGCTTTATTAATGTTATATCAGCTGTCGATTATACTCTGATTGATAGCTATTTATTATAGTGTATATGTATATATTAAAATGACATAACTATAATAAAAACAGAATATTTAAGATTTTAAGACAATAAAAACTATGAACAATATTATTACTATATATAACTATGAATAATATTATTTTAAAATTAAATTTAGAACTTATAGTTAGAACAAATTACAAATAAATTTTGATTAAATCGAATCAGTCATTTAAAAACGAATACAATAAATTTTAAAAAGAAAAAGGAAACAACTTAGAACAAAAATTAATCAAAAATATTTTTTTTCTTTTTGCTAGAAGGCTTGTGTTGCCTACTATACCACAACAGGAAACAAAACGGGACAATGGAAAGAAACGGCTAAAATTTTGAAATTACTTGTATTAGTAATAATGGATTGAAAGTTTATATATATTGTACTGTTATTATAGGAACCGTAGGAGTTACTTGCTCAGTAATTGTAACTAATAAACGGTAGTAAACATCAGGGTAAATGGAATGTTGCCAGATGTTTATATGGTATTCCCCCTAATTGAATCCATTGCATTATTAATTGCCATGAAATGTAGTTTTTTTAAGAAAAATTTTGCCAATAAAAAACTGTCCACACTTTTGTAAAGAATAAAGGCCTCGTGTTCTTGTTTTGTTTTGAGTATAATTAAACTTTAATGAGTTTATGAAACTCATAATCAGCTCTTCGGCGGGCTGTATCAGAATTTTTTGTTTGTTTTTGGAATAAAGTTTGCATTTTTGGTTTTTTAAAGCCAATTTGGACAATACTAACCACCTTATGCTATATAAACTTTTATTTAATACTCTCCCTGTTACAAAATTGTTTCCCCTAGCACTATGAAATACCTTCACAATTGGGGAAAACTACAATCCTGGTATCACTGCTTGGTGGTAAGTGTTTCCAGATTAAAACTAAATTAGATATTCATTCATTCATTCATATACTTTTGTTGGTGGAGTTCTTGTCACTTTCTACGATCTTCCATCATATTCTTTAAGCCTTGATACGACACGACTTTAAATCTGACTTTAATTTGTTTGATGTAACTGATAAAAAATTAAATGGATTACATTAATGCACATTTTCTTTGTAATATTTTTTCCATTTGAATGATATAATAATATATAATTATACACAATTAGAGATTTAATTAAAGATCAGGAGAATTTCAGATTCAGAGATGTCATGTTGGCAGTATTGTCTTTCAGTTCTAGTTCTTAGGTACTGTGCGAAGAAGCAGTGAGCAAATAATCACTATTATAAATGAACTTTTTAAAGCTTTATCGATACATTACTGGGAGCATTGCCGACTGATTTTTAGCGGTATTTTGTAATATACTAAAATAGATAAAGATTTAGATTATAGCGATAGATTTTGATAACTTTAGATCTATTTTAATTATTTTTTATCTGGTTTTATTTTAATTAAAGTAAACTTAAGTAATTTTGGGCATGAAATTTAACAGTCGGAGTTCGCCCTCACGATTTTAATTTTAAGTACAAAATAACGAAAAAAGATAATATAGGTAATGTTTCTTTTTTCGAACTATTATTCATAATGTTTTTGCCCACAGCAGATCTTTGGACTTTCACTAGATGAAAGTAGCAGGAGGAAAGGGCAAAGAGCACTCAAAACCCGCGAAAGGACTTATGGAGCGACTGTAGGCAAACTTGTGCTTGACGGATACAACTAGTTTGAGTGCACCTCAAAAGGTTCGAAATTCAGCTCAGGCTGTTGTAATTTCTATATCTGTTGAAATGAGACAGGTTGAATGGGCTTACAGTATCGCAATTTTTACTACAGCGTATGTTTTAACTTGTGTTACAGACCAAATTACAAATAGGTAATTATTGGTTAATAATAACTGTTATTATCTAAATAGAAGATAATTAGTATGGCGAATTACTTGTTAGCGATAGGAGTTTAATCTACAAAATTAAAATAATTGTTAGTGACTAAGATTTTTTTATTTGTCTCTTAGTACACACACATTCAGGTTTAATTACAAGTAGATAGTATATATCTATATAGAATATTTTGACCAATGAAATATGGGTAATCCTGCATGTTTGTGCTACAGAAATACAAAATGATTCATAGCTCAACGTGGTGAATCACTCGAGGAGCAAACCACTGATTTTCAGCAAAGTCTACATGTGAATGTCCTATTTTAAAATATCTGTAGCTAAATATACGATAACTAAGTATATAAAATAGGTAAATAACAAAGGAACTTGCATTTGAATTTACATATTAGAGTACCAGAATTTTATTCCCTTGTGGGTAAAATTAATCAAAATGCTTTCTTACCTATATGCCAAATTTCAGTTTGATCCGTCCAGTGGTTTGGGCTGTGCATTGATAGATCACTATGTCAGTCACCTTTGAGCTATATATATATATATATAGATATTATTCTTAATCAATGGATGATTAAGTAGGTTTCTTTTTTTTATTTTATATCTATATCAATCTTTTTGCTAAACTTGGTGTCTATGGTTGACAAATAGAGGTAGATAAAATGGAATATTAAATTTATATTAGTAATCGTTTATCATGAGTTATAATAATTCAGTTTTGATTGGAAACTGGAGTGAAGAAAGACTTAAAAATGAGGTATGTATATCTATACATTGTATCTAGGTATATATCTGCAATCAAATATTGGTCATTACCTAAAAGGTATTTAGGAATAGTCGACTAGGTAATAACTATAGGTACATATCTACTAATATACAAAGCCAAAGAGTTTGTTCATCTGTTAGTATAAATACATTTTTCTCTGAAATATCGGATTTGAAAAACCATTAATTAAGTTTTGAAGATTGTAAGTAACGTAGTAAGTGAGTATATATTTCTTTTAAACCTCTTAAGAGACTTCTAAATATCATGACATTAGAAGTCGAGCAAATAAACGTTAGAATGGTCACCAATCTCTAGCAATCTCTACGTTCTCGTACAGATTTACGAAATGACACTAGATTCAAGCTCCACTATTTCTGGTCGATTAGCATATATTTAGCATTATACATAGCGAAAGATAAACGAACTTAGATATACGTAAAATTAAAAACATTAAAAAATATATACGATTTTTTACTCTTTATTATTTACAGTCCGAGTTCAAACTTTTTTTGCGGAAACGAGACAGGCGAGAATTGCTGCTTCAAAGGTCGCGAACATTGTTCAGTAATTTACTGAAAGAGGTACAAAAAATGTTTACCTCTTTCTTATAGGTATAATTTATTTAAGTTTTACAACGCACACATATAGTTATTAAGCAAATAGAAATTATGAAACTGTAGGTACTCCAATAATATTATCGAGGAAGACAGTATCACGTTGTGTAAATGGTAAGAGCTGATCAGAGGTAAGCATACTTCTGATCAGCTCTTACCATTCTTCAATTTTATTATTATCATATATGCTTGACTTTCATACTAAAATGTCATGTTTTTTGAGAAACTAGCACAAACATTTGGGAGTACTAAACATAATCCAGAGCATATACCGAGCATAGATAAGTTATATTTTAAAGTGACCAATAATCATTAAAATACTTAATATTACTTTTTAGCTTTTGATACGCGTTTTAGTTTTTTTAATATTCTTGTGAGGAATTATGAAGTGACAAAACGTTATTTTCTATTAGAAATTATTATAATATAACGTAGTTATTCTTGAAAAATAAATATCGAATTATTATGTTTCAGAGGCCTCTGGCAATAAGCGGTACCTTTGTGTTGTTCGGATTTAATGTTCAATTAGTGGCTTCAGATATGCCAGGTGGTTTATGTTCAACTATACATACTCGTATCTACCTATAATCAATCTATATTTTAACTAATATATCTATGGTAATAATATGGTTATATTATCTTATGTAAGTAAATATAATATTGAACGAAAGGGAAAATAATTTTCAAATATTCACATTGTTTCTAGGAAAATCTTGCACGGTTTTACTATCTACATTTAGAGCAAAATCTGTATATACTACATATACAGATATATATAGTATAAATATAAATAAATGTCTAAAAAAATTAGAATTAATCTTGTATAGATGTATACCAATATACGCGCTTGATATAAAATATCTATATCTAATAAATTTCTACATTAATTCATGCAATTGTTTCCGTGCACTGTAGCAAAGTTAAGAAGCGCGTGTGGTAAATCACAGTATGGGCTTGCAATGTCAAGCCTGGTAAGCGAGAGGCAAGTAGACTATATGCAGAACATTAATGATGGGTGCCTCATGACTCTTTCACCTATCACAACACCATGCTGCCGAAACACCTTCGTAATACTCAGGTTGTGTCATAATATGTATTTTCATTATTATTTTCTTTATTATCACACAGTTTTGTAGAACCATCACACAGGAAAGTTGCCGATACCATATATTACTGATGACGCCAAACACAATTAGTGTTTACTTATGAATTTGTAATAGATAATATAAATTTCTTAATATTTCAGTACTAAAGACGAATCTACTCATGGTGAAAAAATGAACTATGGAGACGAATTCTTTCTCAGAGCTGAAAATTATGGAGATCCAGATGTAAGCAAAACAATGATTTGGATGAAGGTTGACGAGTCTCTTTTTCTTTTTGTTTCCTAATATATTATCTACTACTGTTATAATATCTAAGTAAGTGAATTAGTTAATCAGTAAAATTAAATTAAAATCTACGGTTTTTTTCTATTTTCATCAACTATATTTGTAAAATTTGCCATGTGAATTAATCAAACATGTTCTATTAGTAAGGGTAGTAAACGAGTTGACCATATAGTTTCCTATTGTATATTTTTGTAATGTGTAATTTGTTATGATGATTGTGTGTGTGTTCTTCTGCAGGCTGTTCCATTGTACGTCCGATTCACGCCGGAAGCAACGCCCGGCCCCGCAGACCATATGCCAATCAGGCTGAGTGCCACAAAAGACAGCAATTGTCGTTGGACTACCATGCCTTTATTGCCCGCTGACCGACTGGAACGACTGGGAAGTCCTGTGAAGGTTCTAAAATATATTATTCACAATTATTTCAATAAATTATACCTGTATCATAAAATTACATAAAAAAATACAAATGTCTATTTTTATAATCTAATGTTCATTTATTATACCGCGGCAGTAGTTTACAATATAAATTAAATACTAATATGTTGGCTTTAAGTGCTTTAACAATATCACTCATATTATCGTTATTATGTTACTTAAAGATAATGTAGGTAATTGATGATTGTCAAAGTTGGTAAACACTTGCAAATAAAAGGATTGTTACTGTTGTAACATAACAGAACGTATTATTTTAATTATTACAACTATGTAAAAAAGGAAAAGTACTTTTAATATTTTTACCTACTAAACGAGTAGGTAGGTATAAGCACAAATCTTACGTAAAAGTTACTTGCCTACATCATTATTTTTCAGACTGGTGCCAAGCTCATTGTGAAAAATTGCGTTGCTGATAAAAGTTTGTGCGTTATGAATCAGAATTGGATGCAAACATTTTTTGGTCCCGTAAGATATCTAAAAACCTGATGCTATCTTAAATTATTTACCGGATGCGAACTATTTGCTATATATACTATTTTATTTAACAAAGGAAGGAATTGTAGAATATCTAAATAGGAACTACAAACAGCATGTACTGTTATTAAACATATCGTATATAACGATGTAATGCGTTGTAGGGAGTAGAGAGATATTGTTGTAAACAATTTAATGAGTAGTTCTGTTATTAAAAAGCGACTGAATTTAGTAATCTTTATATGTCTATATTTAACAAGTACTCTTGCAGATACTTGGTTTTCGTCAAATTGATATAAACTGATGCGTTCAGAATTATCTTCGATAATAAAATAGTACAGAAATATAATATATATTAATATTATTAATTTACATTATAATACCTACCTAAAGTTTTGTACAACACGCCTGGGCAATTACTTACGGCTTACTTATTTCTAACGTGAAGTAGTATGTATTTTATTGTATTTTGGTAGGTAGATCTAGGATGTGAGTATTATACTCAGTATTATGTACTCACATAATATGTAGATCATAGCAGTTACAGTTTTTAAGTACCTAATATTATAGAGACATTGGATAGTTTTTAAAAAATCACGGAGCCACTACACTTATTCTAGAACCACTAGGAAAGAGGGGGAAAGGAAGGCCAAAGGACAGTTACATCAAGGCTTAAAGAGTATGATGGTAGATCGTAGAAAGTGGCAAGAGCTCCACTGACAAGAACGTTGCTCTTAAATTTATATATTGCACTAATTGTAGTCCGTAATTTAACCGTCGTCGAGGTTGTTTGCACTGCCTTTCACAATTAACTATTCATTTATCTCTATCACAATGCAGTAATGAGTAGGTAAATTGAATGCTTCACAGATAAAAGAGCAAATTTTCAAACAACAGTACAGAAATATAAGGTGTCCAGAGTATATACAGAGTATTTTACTAATATATTTGTAATTACAGGAATGCGGTATCACTTGTCGCAACTACATAGATATTCATAAAAGGTATACCGCTGAAAATATTTTCACTTTGGTGAGTGACGTCGAAACCAAGACTACGGACTGAGCAACAGAATTTTTACAACAATATTTTATACTATAAAATGAAATTAATTACAAGTACCTATGAAATGTATTAATAACTTTCTGAATACAATGTTTTGTATCCTATTCAGTTTCAGTAAACGTTCATTTCAGAACCTGCCTTTTAAGACCTCTTTGTGTGCCTTGAAAGATTGAAATTATTTTTAGAGTACCGACTCTCGTTATGGGTCCTTAACATAAGTTATTAATGTTTCATTTTTTTTATTAACAATCGCAATGCCACAGTTGGCTGCAGCTAGCTACCTTTACAGCTTCACCGGATTAAATTTATATACTGAGCAAGCATTTCTCTCGTCGTAAGACGAAAACTAAATGGCATTAAAATCGGTTAACAATTGGTTCAAACAGGAACTAGTTTTAAATTTCGTAATCTAATTAAACTAAATTAAATTTTCATTCTTATAAATTTAAAACACAATTGCAACCGATACTGATATTGGTAATATATAGATACATATAGATACAATATATAGATACATATATATAGATATGCAATTGAAATGAATTGCATTATTATCATCAGTTATTGAAATATAGCATTGTGGCGAAAGGATGTACGAAGGAATAAACCATACATCCTAATTTTTACTATTTTGCGAGACTTTAAAATAATATTTATAATAAATTGAAATACACAATGTCACGACTATAGAATCCATATTATCAACAAAATCATATTTCTATATAATATATAAAATTCTCGTATTACAGTGTTTATCACCAACAGCTCCTCTAAAATGGCTTGTCTGAACACGCAAAAATTAATAATAAGAATATTATTGATTTTTTGCGTGTATATTCAGTAGCTCTGAGAGTAGGACGTAAACTATTTTTCATATCTCTTAAGTATTAAGGCTCACAACAAAAAAGTATATTTATTTCATTTGTTAGACGATTCGCCATTAAAAATACATGCAATCCATAATTTTCACACCCTTCTACAATCAACACTTATTTTTTTACAGTGGTATTAGTACTTTAATAATTTTCTACTGACGGAGGTCATACTGATATTTATATATTCAAATGTATAAATATTTCAAAATAACTTTTGTCATTTATTGTATAATGCAAATAAAAATACATTATATCTATATATTTACATTTATATTGAGCCTCATACTTTATTAACAAACGTTTATTGGCTTATAGTGGAGCAAAAGTACGATTAATACAAAAAATAATTTTTATTTTGAGTTGTGACACAATTTGACCGAACGTAGGTACATTAATATAATGTCAAACGATATTGATAGAAGAGGATGTAATAATTTATGTTTGGTAACCATAATGAATATTTTTTACGGAGCGGTCCGGCTTTAATGTATTTTGATACATATTTAGCGGTTATGGTAGTACATATACTGCGATTTATGATTGGGATGTAAATTATATATATATTAAAAATAATAATATCTCAGGGCAATTTACACAGCGAAATCTAGTTCCAGGCTAAGAATAGCTAGTGTAATGGGTACTAGACAACTAATATAACTAAAAGATATATGTTTTTTGGAAATACATAATATACATGTTAAATATCTAGACCGACACAAACAATCATATTCATGCGTTCGAGGAGTCGAAGGTGCAACTAGCAGAAGCAAAGCGATGTGCTAAACCGCGAGACCAGTAAGGCCATTGATTTTATTTGTCCGGATATTGGATTAGTGTCAGATACAGATCATAATCAATATGACCGATCGTATCAGCTAATGTGGATATGCTCTAACCTTTGATTGTTATGAGGTAGGTAATACAATCTGTTTCTATAAGTGTGTATAAAATAGCCCAATGACAATAAATTTAATAATAATAAATGTATAAGTTGCGTGGAAAATATTATATTGGGTATATAAAAAAAGTAAATAAAATAACATAATGATGACATTGACATCGAGCGGTGTCGTGTCATTTCTGGAAAACTTCTATTGTAGTGTACACTTATTTGATCAGCTGAAAAGCGCCTTTTTTTAGAATTATTGTAATGTGTTTATTAGGTTTTTACTCATATAGAAAATCTAATGCATAAAATGTCTAAGATGGTCGAAGATAAAGAGATTGTTTATTGTAATCGTGTACTTCTCGGTAACTGGTATGAGGCGACAAAATTGGAGGAGGTGAGAATAATTTAGATTACAGTTTATTCTGCTCGGCTTAGATAGTTATCTAGTTAGTAATTCAGAATTTACCAAATTATTTAAGCTAAAGGTAATTTAGCATTATAGTTTTAAGATCGACGATTTAGTTGTTTTCCAAAGCTCGATGTGACGATACTTAAACGATACATTACTACAACCACAACCCTTGCTTTTATATTTATAGTACAAACTGAACATTTTCTTGGAGCAAATGAAAAAAGGAGATTTGATGTTGGCGCGTTTTCGCAAAATGTCAGAGAACTTAAATAAACCTACGATACTCACTCAGAGTTCTAGTACTATTGGGTTTGGAGCTAAGATATCTTTATTAGCACCACATGTACCAGGTATCTATTCTTGATGTAGTATTATATATTCAGTACAAATTTAATATTAAACTTTTGCATACCAATTCCAATTTCATTTCATATATATTAACAAAAAATATAGGTATCAATATAGGTATGTCGCCAATCTCCATATTCATACAAATTATTCATCAGAATTGTTTCTGCGGTACAGAGTGGTGACTTGACTATTCTGACCTATACCTATGTATAATAAATGCATTGTGTACTTAAGGTAAGGGTTCCTCCATATATATATATTTACTGTAATCAGTTGTCTAATACCCATAATATAAACTATACAGAGTCCAGAGTTGTAATTATTATTATCTAGGTACCTAAACATTTATTCGTTTATTAAAACAGGAAATTATGGCCTATTTTTTGTTAATAATGGTTTTACTTATACTCACACAGCGTCAGACTCGCCAGATCAAGACAGAAAAGGTTTGCTTCTGGGTGGACGTATATCGTCGAATGATATAAATTATTCCCAAGATTTGGAGGACGGTTGTTCTTTGGCGGGCTTCTCGGACTTGCAGCCAGCAGAGAGAAGCACCTTTATTATTACTAGTGCAGATTATTGTAACCGTGAGAACGAGTCGCTCAAATATAATCAAGAGTTCCTTTTAACATTATCTTCAACTGCCAAGAAAAAGGTAGTAAGTAGTACTGTCAAATATCTAAAATCTTTAAAACTATTTTTTATTCGCCTAATAAAACGATAATAGCATGAGCAATGATGAAATTATCTGACTTAAATATTGTTTTAAAATTAATAATATTTAATTATTGACTTTAAAACAAAATATAAGAAGAGCTGGCTTTGGAAAATAATTATTTATTACCTAACATTATACGAAAAGAAATATCATCAAATTGAGAAAATCTTTTTTGCCAGTCTGTTCAAAACGGTTAATAAATTACAACATTTGTGACCAAGGGGCAGAAATCCAATCATCGTGAGACACGCTATATTTCTTACAAGGGAACGAAATTCCATTCATGTCAATAAGCCCTTTTACTGTAAAATAGGTAGGTATTGGTAAAAGGTGCATTGTGTTTCAGCCGCTGTACATAAGGTACGATCCGAACCCGATTCCCGGTCTGTGCGGAATGTACCCTTTATACCTGAGTAAGCACGCAGTGTCGAATACACGTTGGCGCGTGTTGCCGACTCAAAGTCCTAATATTACCCGTTTTGAACAAGAAGGGAATCCTATTAATGTAAGATTTTCATTCTAATTACTATTACATATTGACTACACATAATATGTAATAATATCTAATGTCAGCTGCCAGATACTTTAAGTACTATAAAGAAGGATATATAGGTACCTAAATAATAAACAATATAAGCAATATTGTTCATTATGAGTAAGTAAGTATATTTCCGTAGTTTCCTCAAATATCATTCTTGCGAAAATGGTCATTAAAGTTATATTAAAATTTTGCCTAAGAAAAAAATATTAAAGAAATTAATATTGTTTTCAAGAAGGTACTTTTCAACTTTATTTCACGTCTATTAGGCACATTGTTGCAATGTTCACTGAAACGTCGAGCTGTAGCACTGCTTAGTGCTACGTCTCGACTGTGTTATTCTGATGAAGCTATATTACTGTAAAGTTTCATCAAAATCTGTTCATTAATTTTTATGCGTCCATACTATATCCTATCTAACCATCCATACTCACAAACTTTCGCGTTTATAATAATTTTATTTTGACATGTTTACTCTTCAAATTTTGAAAAATTAACGTAATATAATTTTTCAAAATTTGAAGAGTAAACATGTCAATATTTTGTTATATTATATTATATAATTCTTTTATTAACCGTGTAATTGTTGTTCACATAATATTTTTTTACCTGTTAAGGTTGCTTTCGATTAAGGTAAATGTGAAGGAAAATATCTGCGCAGTAGTACGTTACTTGTTTGTAAATGTCGAGCTTCTTTGAAGTCAAGATGAAAACAAATTATCTTCGTAATTAAATAATACAAAGCAGACTGACGACAAGAAAACGGCGAAATTCTCAAATATCACGCATTAAATTCATATTCGGGGGGAATTTAATTAACTGAGCGTCTTTATTTTCAGGTTAACACAGATGTCGTGATAAATCATTGTGCGACGAATGTTAATTTAGGAATAAACGTTGGCTGTTGGGCGATAGGATTCTATGGAAAAGTAATTTAACATAATAATTTGAAATTGTATTCCGAATTAGTTGATCATGTTAATGAACGTTTATTATCAATTATAATAATTATTTTTAAACATGTTTTGTACCTAAAAATATTATGATAATAAGGGCGGCTGCTACCTATATAATTAAAAAAATTTTCTTAAAGGTTTGTACTGTATTATAAATGTGATATATCTGTGGTGTGTCTGTCTGTTTGCTACCTTTTCACGACTAAGTTGAACGGCTCTTAATAAATTTGATATGGACATGGAGAGTATCACGTGGCTAAATATAGGCCACCTTTTATAAAAAAAAATAACAAAGACGCAGTGAACCAGTAGTTAGTAAATTTTTATGCAGGTAGTGTATCTTCAGAAATCTAATCTTTATTTAGATAAAATTTATTATAAAATTCATTCAACTACCTATGGCAAATTTTATTAATAATCTGTATTTATTTATTATTTTATAATGTTTATTAATTACTGTGTAACTGAAAGATATCTACAGTAGAACTCCTTATATTTATTATATAAAGTTCATCTAGTTAAATTAAAATTGTATTTCAGTTTTGTGTTCCTATTATGAAGACCTGTTTAGATGTTTACGGAAGAGAACAGCAGAACAATATTTGGCAAATATATATTCCGATAGCTAAATAGTTGCTCCAAAATATCATAAAAGTTTACGGAATACGTTTCTAGATAAAACATAAATATATATATTATATAATTTCATCAATGAACAGTGTTTAATTTCTGAAACAAAGTTAGAAATTAATTTTACGAAGGTTAAAATGTTATCAAGAGATCTGGAACGTTCGTTATTGTCCCGCCTCGTTGATTATACGCTTCGAGATCTAAGGGTTTCGAAGTTATTGCGTCTACCTTCGAGAACATGAATAAGTCATATCCTTCGTTATAAGAATTGCTGTAAAATAGCGGGAATATAGAACTGTTTTGACGGGAAACAATTTGTTCGTACTTTTATTACATAAACATGGTTGTCTCATATCATTTTCAAGTTTTAGTGATATTGGCTTATATTTGTGCCCTAAGGATTCCATTCCATTACCACAACTGTAATAATTTATGACATAATGGTCTTCTTGTGTAATCAAATCTGTAAGAGTATTTATTTAATGTTTGAGATGCTTAAATAACATGGATAATCATTAGGCAATTATCTATATAATTGTTTAATATCTAATTAGGAAACAGAACAATCTTTTATAATAAGTTCTTTATCCTCTTTTTAATGAACAAAGGTTCACAACGTTGGTTTCTGTGACGAATGTACATAGTTTAGATACTTTATTTCCTAATTAGAAAACATACGTATAAGACAGGCCATTGCGAATTTACTTGCACTCAAACTCGCTTCAACATTTTATACTCGAACATTCTATATAGTTGACTGGATTAACAATATCGGTCCTATAAAGAGGCAATTTCTTTGACTTTCAGATTATATTGTGCTGTTCAACATAGTGGAAGTTTCGTTAAAAATGAAATCTGCTGAATCTATTCTATATTTCTTTTAGCCATCTAGACATTGATTGTGTACTCTTCCATTTGAGAATTGAACCGTTACCGATTCTCCAGTTTCCCTCCGCAGCAATAAATGTTCACTCGATTTTTAGCCAATTGGAGTGTTGGTGGATATATCTACATACATATATACCTACCAACCTAACATTTACAATAAATAGAATAGCTCTGAGTATATTGTCTAAAGAGATATTGGTAGGTCAACGGTTACTCAGATATGAACCATAAATATTCTAAATAAGATACTTGCCATTTTTATAGCAGATGTTTTAATGCGCCAAAAATATTCAGTCTAAAAGACCTCTCCTTGTTCTATGATGATAAAAATGAAAGATTTCAAGTACAGTTATATATGTAATATACCTATGTTAGTGGCTTTAATTACTCTACTATTATTCGATTTCCTAAGGAGATGTTAAAACTAAAAACCTGTCAGAAATTTTAAAGATGTATAACCGAAAAGCTACATATTTTTATAATTATGTATTAGCGTGTGTAGCGAAATATCGTCGAAATTATAACATAAAAAAATAATAGATTTCCGTAATAACCATAGTAAAACATAAAGCTTATCGAAGGACGTAATAACCAGCCCTCGGGCCTGCATTCTGTAGTATATACCTACGTATCTGTTCGTAGCCGTAGCTCGTAGCTCCGTAGAAATATGTTCATATCATGTTCGTTGTAGATACTTAGCCACATCTTTAGATTTAATTTGGATAAATCCTAGAAACAAGCAATGTATTTTTAATTTGTTAGAATAAAGCAAATTTGTATTTTGTAACATTTTCTTTATTTCAATAAGTATATAAACCTATAGGTGCGCTATATATTTGATTTTTTTAAGCCAATGAAGATTTTCTTAATTTCTATCCCAAACTCATATACACGCGCGATGTGCATATTTATGTTGTTTTTTTGAGTTCATTTTGACAAATTTAACTGTAGGTGCTAAATTTGTATAAAAATCATAATAGTAACAATAATTTTAGCTGCTATGTAGAAAACCCTCAAACTGGTAGTTAGTTCATAACACGGTAGATGGCGGTAGTAGTTATATCTTCGGTTCTTTGGAAAGTTAAAACGTAGTCACCGAATTTGAGCTCAATTGAATTGTTAATTTTCGAACTTCAACTCAACCAAAAAAGAAATGGATAAAGAAGTGGATATAATTCTGTATTGTCACACATATTCTTTTTTCAGGGTATCTTAAGAAAATTAATTTTCCTGTTAGTATCTTTGAAACGGTATCCGCTTTTTGATGCTTATAAAGTAATTTTCGTCTTCTTTCGACAATTTATCAGTGCAATAGTTATGCTGCTATAATGTATTACTATATTTTTATGCAGTTTTTAGTATACGTAGATAAATATCTATGACGGTATTTCTCCGAGTTAATAAGACTAAGTTAAAATACTCAACGGCATCCTTTTTGTTACAATAAATATATACTACAACTCGCAGAATATAAAATTAAAATCAAAAATAATTTATTCATGTAGGACATTTTAGTCGCTTATGAACATCTTTTAAAAACTGCCCGTTTACGTTTGTTAATCTAATATAACGATAACATACGTAGATAAATACCGAGACTTTTATTAACAGGCATTAGGAAGACGTTTGTTTATATTAATATCCTATGTTATAACAATTGAAAAATTAAGCAATAAGAAACTAATAACAAAAAAAGATCAGTTTTAATTGATTTTGACTTCAAACACATTCACACTTTGAAGTTTTTCATATTTTGTTCATAGAATGCTTCACTGTATAGTTACAAAACATTACCCTCTGTAAGTAATTGCTAGTCGATTGTATCTTACGTATCTACGCATAATGTTTGTATCTCGAAATTGTCATACATGAACGAATTCATTTGGTTTACTTGTGCAAAATGCTTGAGGTGATATGAAAATTTAATTAGTCTACCTCCAACGTTGTCTGTTCTAAAATCACGCATATAGAATACACAATTAAGGAATGCAGACATGACCGCATATCTTCTGTTTGGATAGTTAATTTATAATATGAAAGACATATATTGTTATAATTTGATTTATTTTAACTAATTTATTAATTCTTGAGGTTGGTAGCGAGTTGCTCTTTCGTTTAGGTTATGATGGTTAGTATATGGATATTTACATTATACAAGTTATAAGCTTTTTTGCCAATGCCTTTGAATAAAAATGTGCTTAAAAATTGTACGAAAATTAAAAGAAAAAATAAAAATAAACACATACATAAAAAAAGATTGCTGCTAAGAATTTATTAACAAGCTCTTGTTTTGCTATATAAATTGTAACTTTGTTGGTAGTATTTTCTAGGTAAACTCTAGCGAGCAGTATGGAGTGAATAGTATAGTAAAAATACGGACCTCAAAAATCTTCTTACTCATGAAAACATATAATTTAAAATTATTATAGTGACTAGTCACATAAAACAACGTGTATGTGTACTGAATGGACTGTCGAAGTTCATAATATCGAAAGAGTCAAATAACATTTTCATAGGAAGTTACGTAAGTAAGCATAATATGAGTAAATATGGAAGAATGTTCCTATTTCTGTAGATGAGAGGGTGCTTATCAGAATAATACGTTAAGTACTCGCAATAAAACAAAACAAGAGCAGCTCTTTAACCTCTTGTCTGATGTGGGACGAAGGGAAACCATAGCGCGGTCCCTTTATCTGCCCTACGAGTGAGATATGGTTCGTTACAACGCCCAAGCCTGTGTGTTGCAAAGTTACCATTTCACTATACGGTTACCAATTTATGGTGGTATAATTAGCGCTACAGTTCAGTGTAAATACAAGGAGTAATAGCTTTAGTTTGTAATTTAACTAATAAAAATATACTCCAACGAATTTTAGATAGTTAAATATTATATATTTTGTGTTATTATAGATTTGATTTCGTAACTTCTTATATTTTTCTTTTATATCTACATTTTTTATTAATTTCACAGAGGTAAATTTTTAAAAAGTCCTCCGTGTCGGTACCTGTCTACCTATATCAAGCGCCAAGCAACTTGCTTTGTAAGGTGTGTTTCGATTGAAAGATGAGATAAAGTGAAATTATAGCATGTAATCTAGACCTCCAGAATGGACAACTCCGGAATGTATACCTACTTATTGAACATCAGGTGGGCTGTCACTTTATTAGGCATTTAAATTGCCAATAATATAAAAAAAACATTTTATGTTCATCTAGTTATATACAATACATTACACACTTATATTAAGGCTGTTTTTCATTGTACTAGACTCAAAAATTTTAAAACTAAGTGCTCATCTCTAAATAAAACTCTTATCAAGAGTCTTTTCTTTGTTTACTATAACACACAGTTTAAAAGATAAAATGATACTTACCCATAAATTACAAAATATAATTTTCACAAATTTTACCACCAGCTATGCCCTCCATTTATCTCTGTTCAGGCGGTATTTCCCGTGAAACGTTGTTCATTAACGTTGACAATAGGCTCGATAACAATTCTAAAAACTCGTCACTGCGAGAACAAAGGTTTATCATTGCGACAGAGCTCGGATCACTGCTAAAGGTACGTAGAAGTTTATTACGCAGTGCTAACTTGTAGCAAACACTGGTCGTGTAATTTATTGTAGCTTTTATTTATAAAGAATGCATATTTTAATACCCTTAACAATATAAATATACACAGTAATTAGTATCAGTTATTTATAAATATACTTTCTATACATAACATATCCCAAAAGGTATCTAGATATACATATAGGTATATAGTTTTCCCATTGAACACAAATTAGGTACTATTGTAGAGAAAAAATTCTTTAACATGTAACTAGTAATTTCTAATAATATTATAAACTACATTATATACTGACGACTTTACGTAGGTATATTACCTAGTACAACAAAGAAATAAAACAATCAACATTTCTTTTCATTATTTTATAAATATTATTTGAAAACCTTGAAAAGCGTAAACGTGTCTGTTCAAACGTGGGATAGTGTGTTTTTCATTTAGTCTGGACCATACATACGAGTAGCATGTAGAGAGGGCACTAATATTTTGAGTCTCTCCTGTATACTGTATTCTGCGTTAAATATTCGAGGAATCATGCAGTTCCTGTTCAAATGGGAACATATGGTAAAAAAATATGGACGC